AGATAAGGAAATTAATTAGTGGCCACTGCAAAGAGAATAAGCTTTTTAAATTGATAGATTAAGGTTGAGGGAACAGGTTTTTTTTGTCCTCTATCTCTGGTTTAGTTTGGACTTCTGGAGAAGACATACAGGTTTTCTGGAAGTATTTCACTCGATTGGGATTCGAGTTCAGGATGTCAACATTCAAAATATTACAAAATGTTTTACAAGCTCAAAAATCAGTCAATTGTTATTATTATTATTTTTACCAGTGATATGCTCTTTAAAAATGATAAAGCGCATGTTGTACTGGAGTTCACAGAGGCACTGGTATGGTCACAGTGCCCCCTGTAGGTTGATATCAGTCAGTTATTCAACTCTCAAAACAATTGGTTCCTGTCACATCCTCTGGGAGCCCTACTACATCACAACACATCTTACACACCCTGATGAGATGAGATGTGAAATTACATCCCCAATGACTCGAATAATCATGGCAATCTCTTTCCAGTTTATTAATAATCTACCACTACAAGTCATTATCAGTCGAATTATGTAGAAGACAGATGGATGGATGGATGGATGGATGGATGGATAGATAGATAGATAGGTGGGTAGGTGTGTTTGTAGATAGATAGATAGATAGATAGATAGATAGATAGATAGATAGATAGATAGATAGATAGATAAATAGATGGGTTTGTAGATAGATAGATAGATAGATAGATAGATAGATAGATAGATAGATAGATAGATAGATAGATAGATAGATAGATAGATAGATGGGTTTGTAGATAGATAGATAGATAGATAGATAGATAGATAGATAGATAGATAGATAGATAGGTGTGTTTGTAGATAGATAGATAGATAGATAGATAGGTTTGTAGATAGATAGATAGATAGATAGATAGATAGATAGATAGATAGATAGATAGATAGATAGATAGATAGATAGATGGGTTTGTAGATAGATAGATAGATAGATAGATAGATAGATAGATAGATAGATAGATAGATAGATAGATAGATAGATAGATAGATGGATGGATGGATGGATGGATGGATGGATGGATGGATGGATGGATGGATGGATGGATGGATGGATGGATGGAGAGAGAGAGAGATATTCAGGTGCTATTCAGGTGGTAAAACACCAGCTCTCTTTATGCTCTGCAATATTTACTGAAGAACCTCTTCAGAAGCCACTTCACTTTATATGGCTTTATGTAACTTTTCGGGATAAATTTAGCAGCATGTTCACACTTGACAGTGCTTTATGACTTTTAGTTGGATCTACTGTAAAAAGAATACACAGAAAAGTAATGGACTTTTAAATGTACTAAATTTCAACTTCATCCTTACAAATGTGTACATGTGAAAAGTTTCGATTGGAATTACATGAAAATATACTTTAGTTTACTATAATGCTTGTTAGTACATTCTGCAGTATTAACCATATTTAATAGACAATAGAATTGTGAAATATACTTATAAAGAGTCCAACTTACACGGGTCAAAAAAGCACTCTAAGTTTCAGCTAATTTCATTTAGTACCATTTTAAATGTGTAATGTATAATGGATTTTCATATAGTGTTATAAATGACTGAAAATATTGAGTTTGCACTTTATATATTTTTACAATATTTTTCTCTTTAAAAAATAAAAGTTTGCTGTACATAATTTTCAAAAGGGTCGGTGGATGCTATTTTGGGTGTTCTGAAAGGTTGCGAGGGCATTGCTAGATTGTTTCTAAGACCCTGTTTACACCTGGTGTTTAAATCCGTCTCTTTTGTCCACTTCTGTCCTGCATTTCTTCGAGGGGAGGGTCTATGGGCAAATTTTGGGGCTTTTTCAGATCTTTCGATCTAATGGACAAAATAAGCTCACGCAATGTACATTTGAACATGCTCGGAAATGACGGAAACACATGCAGAGAGAATCAGCTTTAGTTTCTGTTCTGACAGCTGTAAGACCAGCTGAACGCTGTGTGTGTGTGTGTTAGAAATCAGGAATGGTGAGAGAACATTGTGCTTGGTATGTTTTTCGTCTTTAAACCACTCTTGGGTCAACAGCAGACAAAGTTTAAATCCTGTCTGCCTAGTGTGGCTTTCATAATGTTTATGCGTTAGGTCAGTCGGCGGAGAGTAGGTGGTCTTTTGTGGCTGTTCGAATGCATTAGACCACATGTGCATTTACACTGCAAAAGCAATCCGGTCTAATGCTTTTTTGACTACCTCTGGAAGTGGTTGAAAGCTCAAAACGTTTTAGACCTTGTTTACCCCTGTGTTTAGCGTCGTCCACTTGTGATCCGAGCGACTGAAGCGCATCTTAATAGCAACCGTAAACAGGGCCTGGGGAATTCTGGGAGGATGCTTAGTCAGAAGAGCCCACTGTCTTTCAAACAGGTTTAATAAAAATCCAGACAGACTTGTTTGGCAGTAACATTTAATGGTGTTTCCCATGAAAGTAAAACACATTTCAAGAGGGTCTGTTATCTGCCTCTCTCTATATAATTTCAACACACTAGTTTATAACTTTCATCTGAACGTCAGCTCCTCAGATAATCACTTTTCTTTCAAGCAATGTTGTGTGAGAAAGAAAAGAAATGAGTTCACCCAGTCACATGGATGACCCTGAACCTGTTTGGTCAGGTTCGTGACAACACACGAGTTCCTCGTACGACAAACTGATGGACATGATGGGTAGCCGTGAAACCGCAGGAAAACACTGCTTTTAAAGGTCTGAGAGCTGCTACGGGGCAAAGCAAGAGAGAAAGACACACAGGAAGAAGAGAGAGTGCGATAGAGAAACACTGAGACTTTGAATATGCTTATACAGAGGCATGCCAAGAAACTACACACACTAGTATTAAAGCTGCGGGAAAGCGATAGACAGAGAGAAAGATAAAGATACGGTTGCAAAAGCATACAACTTCTAGCCACAGAACATGCTTGCTTAGCAGATAAATACGTTGGGTAATGCTAATACAGAGTGAGCAAGCTAGCGACAGTGTACTATATATTTGAAGCTAAGCTATCCATTTGCCACTAAAACTAACACCAGGTTACACTATATATATATGAATATCTGGGATTGTATTTCACAAGCTCGGAAGGCAAGGCGTTCATGCACGTGCAAAGAGAGCGGGTTTGTAGCAGCAGCGGCGGCGGGGAAAGACGGCACGGTGGGCGTTCCAAGACTACCACGTCGAGGGTGTCAATGCGTTTGTCATGATTACAACAGCTTAAAATACACAAACTATGTGACACAGCTTGTCGATCCGATGAAAGAACACTCATATCTCAAATATTACGAACTTAGCATGCTGAAAAAGCAACTTAAACTAGCCAGTTGTTAGCTGGTTGAAGTTGGACTTCCAGCCTGACTAGACTGGGAAACTGGCTGGGTTCAGTTGTGGTTTTCCAACCCGATCTCACGGCATTTCGTACGAATTTTACGTGGTGGCTAATTCGTACGAATTCATAAGACCTTGCTCGAATTTTGCTAAATCGTACATATTTTACGAGATGCCAAATTCGTAGGAATTCGTACGAATAACCTACACCTGACCCCGCCCCTTAACCTACCCATCACGCGGGTTTAGACAAACCGTACGAATTCGTACGAGTGAGGTCATAGGAATTCATACGAATTAGCCACCATTTACTCACTCGTACGAATTCGTACGAATTGGTCATGAGATAGCGTTGGTTTTTCAGCAAGGTTGACTGTTACGTTCTGCAAGGATACAGGTAGTAATGTAGCATTAGCAAATCTAAGGATTTCAACTATAAAGCAACTCTCATCCTGAAACGGACATCCAAGCTGGGACACATTCAGACAACGCTCAGTTTCTTAAAACATCAAACTATGAACATCCATTGGACAGATCATCATCATACATATAAGCTAAAGTGCACACGCTCCTTTTCAGGAGAACTAGACAATACTGGCAATTAATACTAAGGCAATACTGTTACAAACACACAAAAATACAAATCGGCACAGGATGTCAAGTTTATCACTTGGGCACAAATACAACCAGTATTGGTTCAGAAATGGCTCTCATAACTACCGAAATGTGCTATAATAATCATTTCAAGTTAGTATGTTAAAATGCAGTGGCTTCAAGTGGATTTAAAGCCAGTTCCTTCATACACATATCTTTGCAGTTACATAAGTCATCATATTCAACACATCTGACACGCGCACACACAACCATTTATGATTAAATATTTGTTGAATAGAGAAAATAATATATTTTTTTTACCACACAAATAGACTCTGCCTTATATACAGTACAGTGATGTATTCACATAGATATGTAATTGATCGAGAACATCTTAAAAGTCTATTTACACTATCATAGGGCAGAACCCTATTATGCTTATGTGTTGTTTTCTTTTTGGAGTTTATTTATAACATTAAATTTAGCTCTGTTAATACCCTGAATATCTATAATTCTGTATAAGAAAACTAAATAAGTACATGAACGGGTCGGTAAATGAAGAAATCTATTGCTATTATGCATGTAGAAAAGCGTGTTGCTACACGTTTAGACTAAATTTGTTTTAATTTAAATACAGCATATAATGTGTGCTATTGTTGTGTATTAAATAATATTTGATTTCTTTTTTATTTTACTTGAAATGAACATTTACCTGGTCAGCGCCACGTTTACAACGAGTTTCCAAGAATAACTGCCATTCAAATGCTGTTTTATTGCACTTTTCCAAGAATAAAGTTGGAAATTCTGAATTTCCAACTGAATTATTAAAATAACTATTCTTAGTCAATTGCACATGCTATTAGGGGGGAGAAAAATTCTCATTTTAAAGGGCATTTTATCCTGCAAATAGAGTCAAGAATATTTGTCGGGGGGTTTCTGGGAAGATACATTTGAATTAATTTTTTTTTTTTTTTCATTATTATAATTTTAATTTGAACTTTTAGAAGCACAGTAGCATATCAAGGACCCATTTTAAATATTAAAGTTACATTTTTGTCAACATAGACATGTTTATATAAAATTGCTGTTCAGCAGCCTCTTGTCAATATCAATTTCCAGGCAGTCAAACATTATATTTGTGCTTATTTTTGCGCATACTTTTATTACCTTCAACTATTTATGAACTTATTGATCACGCTCGATACTCAACAGCTCAAAACTCTTCTGAATCTTGACATATCAATAAAAGATAAGTCACACATTGTCTGTGATTGCAAAAGCTTAAGTTATGATGAAGTGTTTTTGGACAATTATGTGTCTTTACTATTATAATATAGTCATATATATGAACGAAACCTGGCACTTTGAATAACTAGTCAAATAGAAACTTATGACCTGCACTGAATAGAAGCAAATAACTCTTCATATTCATATTCATTAAACACATGTAAACAAACAAAGTAATGTCAAAGACACTAAGATAGACAGTAAAAGCAGACGGTAACACTTTTACAGGGCTTTGGAGCACGAAGCCCACAACAACGCTACAATACTAAAGTCTAGATATTTTCATATTGTCATTTTTTTTAAATCTTTATGTGACTTTGGAGAAGAGGAATCAAAGATTTACCGTTACATTCACAACAAATATTCGATCCATCCAGGGACACAAGAATAACAGGTTTTGGTGCGGTGAGTTTTTAAAGATCCTGCCCCAGTCGCTCAATCTCTTCAATGAGGAAGTCAATGTCTTCAAAGGTGGCGGCTGGGTTGGAGATGACCATTCGGAAGAAGTTGACCTTGTCTCCTTGCGGCTGATAGCTCACCATGGTCGTTCCATACTCCATCATTCTGGCTTTGATTACAGGGGCAACCTGTGAGAGAACATTTTATTAGCTTTGGGAATGACGATATGCTTTGTGCTTCACGTTTTTAGAATTTTTTTACAGTTTGCCCTTGTAAAACTTGCTGGGTACTGTTGGTGATTTTCATGGCATTGCTATATGGTTCCTGAAGTGTTCAGTGTACTTTTTAACATCTTGCTGTGTGGTACTGGCTGGTTGCTAGCGTGCCACTATAGGGGGTTGTTTACTGGTCCAAGTCAAAAGAGTCTCTATGATGGTCTGGTGTCTCGATATGACGGGTCTCTCCTTCATGCAAGTCTTTTTTCCGTCACCTTAACAAACACCACTAATAACAGGACATCTCCAACTCACTAAAAAGTAGTAAACCTACTGTATAATAAAGCGCTAATTGACGACAGTACTTGTGTTTTGTCGATGCGCTGGCTGTTATTGATCGTAACGGAATGCGCTTGAGCAGCCTATTGATTTGTCGCCATTTAGCGCTTTATTATACAGTAGGTTTACTACTTTTCAGTGAGTTGGAGATGTCCTGTTATTAGTGGTGTTTGTTAAGGTGACGTAAAAAAGACTTGCATGAAGGAGAGACCCGTCATATCGAGACACCAGACCATCATAGAGACTCATTTGACTTGGACCAGTAAACAACCCCCTATAGTGGCACGCTAGCAACCAGCAACCAGCAACCAGGCGACTTCTGAATTCTATTCAGTGCATTCTGACTAACTTGGAGGCAAACTTTTTTTGCCCCTGTGAAAGGCCTTCCCCTGGGAAGGCATCCTTCTCCTTCCCTTTACCTCTGTACAGATAAAACCTTGTCAAAATGATTCCAGTCCACATGGATACGCGGAAGCGACAAAAAAAATCTGTATTATGAATTTTTAAGGCCAGACAAGTATTTTGTTGGGGTCAATTTGTAAAGAAAGACTACACGCCTGCACACATTAACAGTATATTCAAACACGCATAACTAGACTAAACACGTAATACGCATGTGCACGCCGTCAGCGTTTTCACAGATTCGCGTTTTTGAAGTTTACCCGGGGAGAGTAACGTTTTTCTACATTTTTCAAGGCTTGTGCATTGGAACCCATATTAATGGTTTGCGTTCTCGAACCACCAGGCACTGTTGTTGTGGGAATGAGCGGGCCGGAGCGCGTTAAGGGGTTTCTGTTAGAACGGTGTCGTGTAAGCTGCCCCAACGTTAATAACTAATGATCTTTGCAACGGAATCAATCAAAACTAACTTTATCTGGACGATAACTTTATGCTAGAGCTGCTGAAAAGCCCAAACAATCTCTGTTACTTTAATTTCCTATTATCACTGTAAAGCTGCTTTGAAACAATCTATACTCACTATTAAGTGGCTTATTAGCATGCATATTACTTGGATATATGCTGTTTATTAGTACTTACAAAGCACATATTGATGCCTTATTCTGCATGACCATATTCTACATTCCTTAATCCTACCCAATACCTAAACTAAACTAACTTACTAACTATTAATAAGCAGTAATTAGGAGGCAAAAGTCATAGTTAATAGTTATAGTTAATAGTGAGAATTGGACCCTAAACTAAAGTCTGACCCAAAAAAAGTCATATTTAAGCAAATACAATAAGACAACTGCTAAAAGTGTCATATTCAAAGAAATAATCATTAATATACTGACCCAAAAATTTAAATACTGTCATTATTTACTCACTCTACTGTGTCATTCAACAATTGTTTCAACTGTTTTTGTCTGTACAATAAAAGTCAACGGGATTCAAAATAACACTGAACCCCATTGGTTTTCATTGTATGGACAAAATAACACAAATACATTTTTGAAAACATATTTTATATTCCACAGAAGAAAGAAAGTCATACAGGATTGTAACAACATGAGAGTGTGTAAATAATGACAATTTTCATTTTTGGCGAATTATCCTTGAGAAAGTCTTTGATGGAGAACACCTAAAGGGAAATATAAGATGGGAGGAAAAATTATATGTCAGTGCTTTTGTGTTCTCTCGCAAATAATTTGCTTTCCTCCCAGAAACTTTGCATTCACTCGCAAGACTTTTGAGTTCTTTGCAAATGAACAGAAAAGTGTAGTGAGGGAACGCAAAGGTCTTGCGAGCGAATGAAAAGATTTTCGGGGGAACAGAAAAGCATTGACATATAATTTTCCTCACATCTCATATTTTTTTTCCATTCCTTTAGGGGCTCCATACTTTAAAAGCATAATTCAAAGCATAAAATGTTTATCTGGTCGTTTTTCGCATTTATTTGGATGTACATTTAATATAGTCTATAAAATAGTATCAATGTGAGAGTTGAAAGACAATTATTTTCGAGTCAAAGCGAAGTCTCTATGTTAAGCAGTTTTTATATTTTAGACCAAACCCTGTCCAGAATGTTTGAGGAATATAAATACAGTGCTTTCTTGTAAGCATACATCCTCATCATGTTGTATAGGCTTAGCTTGAGCAAAACTGCATTGATTAGAGCAGTAGCATTGGACAGTGTGTGTGACTGTAATCTGAATAAAAGACACACAGACACTCATCACCACATAATTACACTCACTTCCCCTCAAATCTGTTGCAGGTTTCCAGCTATTAACAGCCGGCTTGTATCCAACACCTACATACAGTAACCTTCCATCTCTATGAAACAAGCCTTGATATACTGGAACCTGTCCAGTAGTGTCTTTTCATAGCATCAATACACAAACATATGTGTGTATCCTGTTACCCGAGAGTCTCCAGAAACCAGTGTCTATCATTTGTAACAGATAGAGCATGAGCGTCTAGTTTCAGGTATATGAGGAGGGGTTTGTGGGTAGTGTTAGATAGAGAACCTCTTTGTATGACTAGCACGCGCACCATCTGTTCGGCCTAATTGCCGGTTAGAGCTTTGCTGGCATGGGAGTGACTGAGGAGCAGCCAGCCAATGAAAGGACACCTGATGAGCAGCCCCTCCCCCTACAGTGACATCACTGCAGAGATGTCATTTGAAATATTTTTCTGGTTTGAATCATCTAGACATTACAAACAGACACCACCTTAACTGTCATGTGCTGAGACTTATGATGATGTTTGGGGCTTAAGTGCTATAACAGTCATTTTGAAATTACCATAATTTCCCTTTAGATTATTTTAATATCCCTCATGAACATACTTTTAAGAAGAGTACTAATTATGGAAATAATATACTTTAAAAGAATATACTTGATTGCATGTTAATTGGAATGAAATGAAAATGTGTTCAAGTTTAAATTTATATTTAATGCAATTAGCTGGTCTTTAGATTGCTTTTTTGACCCACTTTTAGGACTTAACTACATCTTTATATGTAATTGTCTTTGAAATATGTTTAAAATGTACTGCCGTGTGTACTGACAAACATTTATGGTAAACTAAAATATACTTTAATGTCACTTTTACTGAAACTTGTGTCATGTATTTAAATATAGTTGTAATTACACATTTTTAATGAAGAAGTCCCAAATACGTACATTTAAAATATATAAACTTTAAATGTAATATTGAATAACACACAGTTAGAATTATAATCATACTTTGCATGTGCTTTAGAATGTTAGTCAACACATAAAATGTGTCTTGAAAGCATGACAAATGATTAAAACATAATGATTTAAATGCACTTTATTTAAACTATTAACCATTTTGAGTTACTTAGCATATAGAAATGATGTATAAATTGAATATATATTTTATATGTACTGTATAGGCTAATGGAGGATCATTTGTTCTTTTTTTTATAATCCGTTCTTAATAGCATGCAGTATCAACATGATATCTCAATGTTAAATATGTTTTTGGGTTTGTTTAAATGACCTCGGTGTCTTTTAAACTGCCCAAACCGAGCATTAGGCCTAATATTCTTTTTTTACTGCAATGTACCATTTGAAATGTAAGAGTTCACATCCATTGATTGAATAGAAGTTTTCTCACCTTGTGCAGACGCTTCGTCTTCTCCACTTTGTCCTCCAGGTTGCGCACACCCGGTGGAAGGTACCAGAAACACACATTGGTATGCTGAGGCTGCAAGGACACGAGACAACCAGATAGCATCAGCGTACGCTCACGCAACACACACACCTATCTCTCAATTTAACGTACGACACACGCTTGCATAAATAGAGCACTCTAGGGAGTCCATTAAAGATCCGTGACGGAATATTCGATTAGGGGCCGTCTGGGGCCATAATGGGAATTTTTTTGCCGCTGTCAGTTTGGAAGCAGCCATGTAATCTATTCAATCAAAAGGCTTTTCTTTGAGGGCTTTGAGCGCTTGAGCAGGTAGCTCATAGACAGACACTACAGTCCATTAGAGGCCCTCGTGGCCATTATGCGGCTCCAGGGGCCATGCTGGAGAAGAATGTCTCCATGCACTAGTGAAAAGGGTTCATTAGCCATTCAGTTGGTGGGACACACAGATAAAACACAGATCGAGTCATACATCACTGTGCTAGAACCAAAAAGAGCTGGCTAAACATCAAATCGAGAGCTTTGTTAAATGTCATTCGATCATACTGCAACACCGCAACCTTCCTCGCCTTGCACTGCACTGACTTCAACAAGAGCGCGCTCACCGAGAAGCCTCCAGCCAAATCATTTTGTCACATTGGCACCAAGCACAATTTACATTTAAATGAGCCTCGAACGACTGCTCAGTCATTTCAAGGGTGAAACATTTCATGTTAGCTAAATTAGTGCACACAATCAGCTCTCAAAATTACTTAGGAATACAGGACTTGCATTTCATTTTAGAGAGGATCGTTGTTTTTTAAAAAGGCATCAAATGTGATTTAGAAATACTGTGTGTTTTGTATCTTTAGCAGATGTGCTATTTCCTGACAATTCAGGATGAAATGTAATTAAATAAAGAAATTATTAACTAAATTAATTTCCATCCCACCATTCAATTCTGAATAAATGTAAATAATTAAATAATAAATGAACCGCAGGACACAGTTAAGATTCTTTAAAAATAAAATAAAAAGCAAATAAATAATATTAAAGCAGTATTTATGAATTAATTAGCACATCCACGCATTACACAGACACTAACGTTCAAAAGGTTGTGGTCAGTACGATTTTTTAAAAATAATTAATTCTTGTTTTCTGCAAGGACATTGATCAAAAAGTGATGGTAAGGTACAAACTTTTTCTATTTCAAATAAAGACTTAAATTATTAATTTTTATATATGAAAAAAAAATATGATGGTTTCCACAAAAATATGAAGCAGGACTACTGTTTTTAACATTAATGACAATAAGAATTGTTTCTTGAGCAGCAAATCAGCATATTAGAATGATTAGATAGGATCATGTGACACTAAGACTGGAGTAATGATGCTGAAAATTCAGCTTTACCATCAAAGCAATAAATTACATTTTAAAATATATTCAAATAGACAAATAAACCCTATTCCTAACCCTAGAGAAAGTACATGCTGTTAATTAATGTTGTTAATTACAGACCCACAAGTTTTGGTATGCATATGTATCATGTTTAGCCCCACAGAGTCTTTTGAACATCAATATAAAGCCTAATCAACACTGCAGATTATTTATTCAGGAAGAGCCCCCCTAACTGAGACGGGTGGGTTATATGGGCCTGGCTTCACAGACAGGGCTTAGATTAAGCCAGGATTAGGTCTTAGTTCAATTAGGACCAAGAAAAAAACATTACTGGTGTGCATCTTGAGATAAAACAATGGAACTGACATTTTAAGATATGTCAGTGCCATTTGCTTTCAGTTACAACAGCTCAAACAAGCATTTTAGTCTGGGACTAGACTTAAACCATATCTGTGAAACCAGGGGATTGTATTGGGATATATCACAATAATGGAATGCCACAGAAAATGAATTCAAATTGTGGTGCGGCAGCCTCACGGTAAAAATAACAGAAAATGTCTGTCCATTATTGTGGCTTTATTGTGACATTATTATTAGCATTATTGTGTGTAATATGCTGAGGGCATCAGTGCACAGATTATGTGCGGTCCATTTATATTCCATTCTGTTTGCTCAAACCAAACAACAGCAGAGAAGTTCTGTCAGTAGAAATGGCCTGTTGTTAGGTAGTTTTGCCTAATTCCTTTTTTTGTGAAAGGTGATTTTTTCTTTTCTTGAACAGTTTTTTGATTTCTACTGAATAAAAATCATTGATCACATGATGCAAGAGTAATCCAAAAGAATTAAACACATCTAATAAGACTTACCTTTCCATCAAACACCATCTCATATCCTTCCCTGTCCTTGATCTTGTTGTAGAGATATTCTGAAAGCTCCAGACATTTGTCAATCTGAGACTCAAAACCAATAGTGCCCTTCAGAGAAGAGAGAGAGAGAGCAAACATTGTGATAACACATTACCTCACTGAACAACCAACCAATTTGGTTGTGCCTTGTAGCAAAACGACTGTCCCAAGTGGTCATTTACGGCAGCGCAGCTGTGATGCTGGTTTGTCTTAGCATTAACTTAAATTCTTGTCTTAAAATAGTTTGAAGTTAGGTTAGCCTATGATAGGATAGGATAGGATAGGACAGGACCGGGCAGGATAAGATTAGGAGAGGATAGGTTAGCCTATAGGATAGGACAGGATAGCCTAGGACATGATATGATAGGACAGGACAGGACACGACATGAAAGGATAGGAGAGGTTAGCCTAGGATAGGATAGGATAGGATAGGATAGGATAGGATAGGATAGGAAAGGAAAGGATAGGACAGGACCGGGCAGGATAAGATTAGGAGAGGATAGGTTAGCCTATAGGATAGGACAGGATAGCCTAGGATATGATACGATAGGACAGGACAGGACATGACATGAAAGGATAGGAGAGGAGAGGTTAGCCTAGAATAGGATAGGAAAGGATAGGATAGGTTAGCCTAGGATATGATTATGAGAGGATAGGTTAGCCTACAGGATTAGATAGGTTAGCCTAGGAAAGGATTAGGAGAGGATAGGTTAGCCTATAGGATAGGATAGCCTATAGGACAGGATAGCCTATATGATAGGATAGCCTATATGATAGGATAGCCTATAGGATAGGATAGGATAGGACAGGATAGCCTAGGATAGGATAGGACAGACAGACAGACAGACAGACAGACAGACAGACATTTATCTAAACTATAACTCATGTTGTTATAGAGGGTGTGCAGGTGACATCACCGTTGGCCGGAGTGACTGCGGTTACGCCCACTGGGTGGCAAAAAGACTGAGCGACAGCATTGGTTTTCAGCGTGAATCCCGCGAAAAACAAAACACGTCTAAAATGGGAAAGAGCTTTGAGACTGACCGTAAAACTAGATTTGACAAGAAATCTGAGGTATATTTTTACAGACTGCCGAAAGCTATAGAAAAGAGAAGCAAATGGATCGCTGCAATTCATAGAAACAACTGGACTCCAGGCAGCGAAAGGTGGATTTGCAGTTATCATTTTTGTGTCAATATGCTGAATTTAGTGGTAATCTGAATCACTGGATCTTTAGTAAGTTGAAAGGAACACTATATCGAGTCCAAACTTTAGTTCAAAGCATTTTCGCAGTTTCCCCTATTAAATCCAGTCACGCAGCAGCTCTTCTGCCACTCAGTCCGGCTGAGGGGACGTGTCCCGGCGGGAAAGTGACATCAATGCATTCCCTCTATTTGTAGTTATAAGTGTTTCGCAATATCAAGCAACATTTAACATAAAGCTGTACAATACCTTAGCTCTCCACATTAGCCATAGTTTGAAGATGTCCACATGGCGGCCGCACTGCAGGGCCTTGTCCCCCGTGTCATAGGACAGATCATAGTGCTTGTCCTGCTGGAACAGATAACAGGCCTGCATCTGATTGCAGCTCTGCATCAGTCCCTGGATCAGATAACAAGAAGAGGAAGGAAACAAGTGACAAAAAAACAAATTTTTGTTGCAATGATTTTCACGTGTTTTTAAGTGTGACTGTGCATGTTTGAATACTTTTGGGGCCTTTGTAATGTGATAATATGTTAAGTTTTGTTTTTGATGGAGAAAGCAGAGAGCCTCACCTCCTCTCGAACCAGTAGAGCAGAGCACTGCAAGGGCACAGCCATCATTTTATGAGGGTTCCAGGTCATAGAATTAGCCCTAAAATTGTATAAAAAATTATTAAAATAGCACATGAAATGAATAAATAACTACATAAAAATGTATTTTGATTTAGACAACATTTCTCCCTGAGGGACTGTGTTGTGCAGTGAAATGTCAAGTCTATAGAAAAATTATCAAATCCAATCATTTCACGGGGAAAACTTTTCAAACAGAAGTTTGTGGATTTCTTAATCAAATTTCATTCATGGCAACTCTTTGAATTTAACAAGCATTTACTGATAAGAATGAAGTGTTGTCATGGTGGACTAGATATGTCACGCTGCTACTGCTACTGTCTGGGCAAGTACTAAGACTTGTTCTGTTAAACATGCTCAGACGAAACCTGCAGCGGCTAAAAGTAAAGTAAGAGTAACCCTTCGTAGCAGATTTAGACAGGTGGTGCTGGGGACGAGGAGGGATAAAATGAAGAATTCTCACAGCTCGCACAGAGAACGTGCTAGTTAAGTTGGGACAATAAAGAGTTATGTAGATGAAGAAGTGTGACCACAAGGGCTTGGCACCAGCACTGAGAGAACCAATCAGCCCACAGATAGATTTTCATGACAGAACTAGACACCTAGTCGATAAGAACGGCAGATTGTACTGACCTCTCGACTCCATTCAGCTTCCACCGGTGTTTCCGGGACATTAGCAAACTTCCGCCCCATGCTCCCTGTAGGAGCACAGAGACAACAGTCATTTTAAAGACACTCTTATATGTGTTAATAGAAACATGTTTGTCCTTCTCGTTTTTAAAAAAAGGAAGGAAGGTTTAATCTAGATCAAGCTCCAACCATTTGACCCAATTGGCTCTGAGTCTGCAATGAGCACCACTTGAGATTTGACTGAAAACATGATACTCATCTTTATTATTACATTTATAAAGGCAGATCTTATGTTTTTTTTTCATCTTTATATTCATGTACATTATATTCACATCTCATTTGAGATTGCAGAGGAGTGGGATACAGGTCTCATCTGTACTACATGTCAACTGCTGCCATGAGTTGATAAATGAGACTAAGTACATCCAAAGTGATTCATGTGTTTGAGCTCTAGCATACCTTTACAATATGTCTGTGTGGCTGTTGAAATGCCAGAGGCGTTTATATTGTAATATTGAGGAATAATATCAGGTGACCCATGAGAATGAATACACACATGGACACACTCACACAGACTGATTGAAGGTAATTCCTCTAATAGATGAAGCTATACATTTCAAAAGCTACATTTCATTTATTGCATGCATGCTAAATTAACTCGGTGCCAAATTTCAAACACAGCTGGGTCAATAGTAACAAATCATGAGATTTTAAGAAAATTCTGGGTGGTCCTTAGCTGGTCAGAGTGGGTTTGTAGCACATTGGTGGTTTCTAGGGTGCTCTTGTTGGTTACTAGGAAATTGCTGTATCCACTAATTAAAAATCAGAAGTTTGACCTTACTCAACAGTACAGGCTTTGTTCAAATCCCTGACTTTATGTATAACCATTAAATATTTTTTTTCTTAAGACCTATAGAGCTCATCAACACTCAATAGTCCTACGTTACAGGCTGTAATGCAGAACAATCGAGAAGGTCCTCAGTTCTGCATCCAGAGAATGATACTTAGGCTTTGCCAACTCTGAGATCACTCTTGGATCACAGTCCACTGTCTGTATTTCACAGGTGAAACGTTCAGGAAGTTCATGTAAGTTCAGGGCAGCAGATCTACTCACGTCCACATGCATCCAGACTTCATGCTTCTTGCAGATGTCGGCTATAGCGATCAAAGGATCAAAGGCGCCATAAACCGTGGTGCCGGCCGTGGCGCTGACGAAAAACGGCACGTATCCCTGTGAGAAAGAAATCAGCAGGTTATTCAAGGGCCCATTTTGCCACAGAACCAGACAGATTACTCAAACAGACTCAAGAAGAGAGACACACGAGACGGTCGTGGAGATACGCTCATTGAAATTACCTTCTGCTTGGCTTCAATGATCCTCCTCTCAAGGTCGGAAGGAATCATCTTTCCCCTGGCAGAAATGAGAACAGTAAAGCTGAAGTCATATGGTTTATTATGTTAAGACACACATTTCTCAGTCGTGCAGTCATGAAGTCATGCTTCAGTTGTGACAATCCAGACTAACCTTTCATCAGCTTTAATACAGATGACACTTTCTGTACCGATTCCAAGTGCGGCTGCTCCTTTCTTGATTGAAAAGTGACTCTGAAAGGCATAATGATAGAATAATAATAGAAACTGCACTCAGAATATATTCGTGTATTAATTTGCTGGAATTATTAAAAATAAAAGTAATCTGTTACAAACATATATTCATTTTTGTCCAATTTCGTTTTTATTTATTTTTTAATATTTCACAAAGTTATATTTTAATGCAAAATTGACATGAGATGTATTTTTATAAAGTTCAAGTCATACCACTTCAAGTTCAAAAAGAGGTCATAAAACTAATCCATATGATTAAAAGCAGTTTAGTCCTGAAGAGACTCGATCGCTTTATATGATGAACAAATTTAATTTAGGCTTTTATTCACTTATAAACATTGATCAGCGAACATAAACAGAAGCTCAACCGAACCTGCTTGACGCACGAGAACAAGCCTCTCCCGGAAGCTCAAACGTGCTGCGTAACACGAGAATGATCCTCAATGGTTCTCGCACGTCCACTACTAATGTGTGCATCGATGAATGTTTATGTGAATAAAAGCCTGAATTCAATCTGTTCATCATTTCATGTTTCATATGTTTTACGATCTTTTTATACGTTTTGAAGCATCAAAGTGGTAGCTGCAGCTGTCAACAGAGGGACAGAAATGTCACACATTTGATCAAAAAGATCTTCATTTGTGTTCCGAAGATGAACGAAAGTCTTACGGGTTTGGAACGACACGGGGGTGAGTAAATAATGACAGAATTTTCATTTTTGGGTGAACTAGCTTTAAATCTCCTGTCTGGTTTGTTTGTCGGACAAAATGGCCGATTCAGCATTATGATTGGTCAGATCACCTGTCAATCAAACTGTAATGCTGAAAATGAATCGGGGTCTGGATTCACAAATGACTGGCCACATAATAATGGCCATAAAACATATTGCATTAAAACAAAAAGGGCTACTATTTTGACACCAATGCAGTGACTGACAAGATTTATTTGTAATTGAGTAACTTCTCTGTGTACTTTAAAATACTACCCAAAAATAAGTAGACTGCTGTTAGGAGTCAAGAAATAAAAAAATAAGTAGACCTATTGCTTTTTAGGAGAAACATCTTTACTACAGGTTGTTGTTAATTATTAAAAATACGGGAGGAAAGGTAAAAAAAAAAAAAGAGAGATAAATAAATGGACGTACATGTTCAGATGTGAAGGCCACCAGTCTGGGTACGGATGACATTCCTTTCTCCTTCACTTCAGGGAACATTTTATAGCGAGCCAGTAGCATGGCATACATGTTGGAAATGGCGCCACCTAGAGAACAATAAAGCAATCCTTCCATTCCATCACTCAGGCAAAGCTTGACTCCTGTCAGTTTTTACTCAAGCCTTCTCTGCTCTAATTCTCCACATCCCAATGGTGATCGGTTTATCAGTGCCTAAAATCTGAGTCAATTAGAAGGCTTATTTTTTTTAAAAGTGGGGCAAAGAAAAGCAGTGCTGAAATTCCAATCATTTGCATCAGTTTCACATTTTTTTCTCTTAATTTGTGTGGTTGGAGTCACATTCATTGTTAGATAACACTTTTACAACCCAACAGCACAAATAACTGAGATTCTTCTTTTCAAGATCCTCAAAGAGTTAGAGAGACCTCCTGTCCTAAAAACGTGGCAGCAGAAGCACTCAGTGCAGGATAAGGCAGGTCACTCAGATTGACAGCTTCTTACCCGGAGAGAATATCCCATCACCGCGACCGTCCTGCCAGCCAATGATCTCCCTCATCTTCTTCAGCGTGACGTACTCCAACAGCACGAAGACTGGAGCCACCTCATAGGTGAACCTGTTTGCACAGAGATCACATGACCCAGTTACACAAGCCAGAAAAAAACGTCACGACAACCTGTTTCGCAACTGATGTTTGAGGGGATTTTGCAACAGTCTGCAGGTTTTACAGCCGTGTGTCATTGCCAGCTTAAAACAATGATGGAAATAAAATTCTGACAAGACATGAATTTTTATAATATTTAGATTTTTAAAAACACTTTTTCTAAAATAATACATTTGATTTCTAATATAACCAATTAGACAAACTGAAAAAGCTGGTGTACCCTCACAGAAACTGTTACATTGTTATAACATTGTTTAAGCATCTGTTAAATTAAAACGTTGACTCCCAACATAAAATACATTTTCTTATCAGCCTGAATATGAATTTCCATATTATTTTCTCTCTTTGAATGAATCTGAGCACAAGATGAGAGAGGGGATGTTATTTGCTGCTCTGATTTAATCTGTGCCTTTCATTTTATTCCTTTCAACTGATATCTGAGGTAGGTTAGGCAGCCACCACAAAGACCAGGTCAAAAGAATGCTTATGAAGGCAGAGAAAACGGAAATGATCTCAACCTGCTTTGTATTTTAATGTAAGGAGACACTCACATATTGGTGTTGGCAGTGGATGTAAGCCAATCTGCAGCCAAGCCAACCATGTCTAACCCAGTGGAGAGCTGATTGAAATACCTGGGATGTGCTGAAGATTGACACAACATACAGAGAAAATACAAAATGAATGAATTTAATGTTTGAATATATTTATGCCCAACTAATAGTCCACTATTTATTTATAATAGTCACGTGCGGTTAATGTAAAAGCTCAAATGAACCTCAGACCGGCGCAGACAGCCATAAATCAATCAATCTTTCTGGACATTCATATAATTCCCAAAACGAAAACCACTCAAAATAATTTCTCTTAGTTAAAATGCCACCAGAGAAAATAAAATTGTCCCTAGACGCATTCATTTAATATCACGTCATGTTCCGATCTGATTCGATTCGCCTTCAGGCACACACTGATGCTCGTGCTTCGCGGTCTGAAATAATCTGGTTTACAAGCGAGGCAATCAATAAAACAATTGTTATAATGTATCTTTTCTAGGCTAAGCTAGATGATATATAAACATGTTAGATTGAATATAAAAAATATATAAAATAAAATATATTTTAGTAGCCTATCTATATGAACCCTATTGTTTACTAATTAAAACACTCACCAGTTTTGATGGCGTATTTTAGCGTAGCGCGACAGCTGATCAGAATATCATCCAAAGTCTCGGGTTCGTCCGAAAGCTCCCAATTATTCCTTTGGAGCAATTCATTTGGATAGTGAAAATCAATCACTTTCGTTGATCTGTCAAAAGATTCCACTATATAAGCCAGCAATATATCAACAACCTCCTGCAGAAAATTCAGAGTCTTCGCGTCCCCGTCCAATGCAGGTAAAAGATCTGTAAATAATAATAATACAACACTGACTGCATTACAATAACAGATGATGGTGTTTATGCAAATAGCAAAAGTGAAATGGCTTCATTTAACCTTGAATAAAAAGGACAATAAGCATTAATTGGTATAGCTACCCTTTTTATTCAATAATTTCCACAACAATGCACAGGCACGATTTTATTTAATTTATTCTTTATTTTTCTTTTTTTTATATATCATTGTTTTGATTCACAATAATGAATTTTAAAAATGGCATATTAAAACAAGTAGCATTTGAAACAGACGACGTGCAAAATCAAGAAATAGCCTATGTAGCTATTTAAAAATTAAAAGAGTTTTAACGAAAAACGCCGCCTGGATGAACATACCACAAACAAAACCTATAGAAATCGAATAAAACCACGTAACCAATATAACCATGATTTCTAGACGATTTGTCCCTTTATTCGGGCGTGATCTGTACCGTGATAGAGGTGTGATATGAGGTGATTTACCTGTTGAATAGAGATCAGAGAAACCCACGGTGGCTTTGGAGCAGTTACAGGGTTTATTACAGGCGCAGCTCTCGGCTGTAGACTCATCTTCGGCTTTAACTGAGGCTTGGGCTGCTTTCTCAGCCTCCCCGACATTTAACAGAGCTACAGGAGAAACCGTTACTCTATTAACTGAATAAAAAAACAGCACCTCAAATTGTAGCAAAGGGTTACTTTTTCTTTTAACGGCACCTAATTCGTGTAGGAGTTTTCAGAATCTATAGACTCCAAAAACGAAAATGTGCTTTTATAAATGATTTACATATCACATTTTAGGACGATAGGTGACAGGCACAAATAAAGATGTTAAATATAGACTTCATGTTAAAAATAAACGTACCACATAATTTGGAGCCGATGCCTCCGGAGAATTTCTGGGCCGCCGCCTGACACCATGCTCTGGCTGAAACGATCAAGTGCGTGATTTAAACACCAGATCCGTCAGAAAACTTCCATTAAGACCATCAATTATCCATGGCATGGCATTTGCCTTAAAACACCGAACTAAATTCGGTTGTTTATCACACGACACACTTGACATGACATTTCAAGGTTTAAAATAACCTTGAGCGTTCAAGACACAATAAATGTCGCATTTCTTTGTCTCATAGCCACTAATATATAAAACACAATTTCAGGCTTCCTTTTGACGCCACGCCACTTACTAGTGTTCGGACTTTGACTGCCGTCTCCAGCCGGGTTTTCAGCACCCATAAACCAAAACCCGTGTGATGCCATCGCGAACAGAGCGGATCAGAGCAGAACCAGAGAGACGCGAGCAGCAGCCATCCAGACGCGCGTCACGGGGGAACGGGAGCTCGATCCTGCCCAATGCGCAGAAAATACAGCTGCGTATTCACAATCACACCTGTCCAGACGCGTCAAATACCTTAATTTCTAAGGTGCTCATAAAAAGATGTTCAAACCCCTCTGATGGAGAACAGCCGAGACAGAGTGTCTTTATTCAATTGGTGCGCCGTGCGCAATGATTTGGAGCAGCCGTCACTGAACTCACGGAGAAACACTGGCACTGATGGAGACACATGCATCCACTGACAATCATTCTCTTTCACGTGGCTCAGCTGCAAATGCAAGTTGATGATGCACAGTACATTTATTAAAAACGCACTCGTAGCAATCCGTAGCGCGGGCTCTCCAACATGCAAACTTGCAACTTTAGTGGTAATAAAAGCTTCTTGTGGCGTAAAGATAATCCGCCTCACGTCACCAGAGAAATTCCGACGCGATTGGGCTCATGACGACACTATTTTGCGTCGTTAATCGTGACCACACACACACACACACACACACACACACACTAGTTTATGAACCCCCTGGCGCACCACCCGCATCTGTGCTGAAGGCACAACCGGGTTTTTTTTTAGATTCTGTAATTGCTTTGCTCTAATATTGAACAGACCTCATCAGAGGCAGGAGGAGCAGCCGGGCTGCTGGACCATGACATTCAGATCTGTGGTCCATATCCCTGCCCCCCTTTTTAAATCATCAAACAATTTCCTATGTGAAAATTGGAGACCCAATTTCAAACATGATCGGGATAACCTAGAATTAGTCAAAACATTACTCTGAATTTATTTATTATTATCAATGTCAGTGTGTGTTGTGTGCGGTGATCGTGCGCAATAGTACGCGCGCTATTTTTTCTCTTCATAAGACGAAACCCTAAATAATGCAGAAATAAACTACAATCATAAGATGTAGAAAATAACAGCTTAATCAGGTTGATGTTGGTGTGTAGACCTTGTTTAATCGAGAAAAATCACATAGAAAAGCTGGTCAAGAGAGTTACATCGGGGGAAAAAATATTCAATGTCAATCCAATGAGCAATGGTCATGGTGAGTCAATGAACATCAAACTAAACTAACAAAAAAAAAAAAGATTTATTTGATCAATTATTAAATACAATTGGAATTTATTAGGAATCTGCTTTCCACTAACATTTACTAAACATGAAATCCAAAACCATTTATTACAAATAATGTATTTCACATGAACTAAGATTAGATTAAAAAAATGAAAACATACTGTAGATAGGATAAGCGGAAAATGAAACTCGTACAATTGCATTTCTCTATAACTTTAGTCCGCTCAGGGTTTAACATCAACCATTATGTACACTATTGTATGCATTTTATCATTTAATCTGACTAATTACAGAATAATTAAATATTTATAAAATCATATTTACAAATAAGTGACATTTCGAGAATACATAACCAATTTATTTGGCTACTGCAGCAAAACTAATCGCCCCTCGGGGACAAATAAAGGTCTTGAACTTGATACATATATCCATGTGTTTGCATTATGTGCAAAAGGTACAAGTGCATACTGTACATGCATCTGGAAAAGTATAAATGTAATCTATATTTTTACATCCTGCTGATGTTTATGCAGAAATGATACAACAAGTCTGACTCACTAAACCATCCAGGATCCATTAGAGACAGTAATTCAAATATATTGGTGGAAATATAAAAGGTCATTTTATGAATGTCTTTGAAGATGAATCTCTATTCACAAAGAGACTTGAACAGAATGCATCAACAAACATCAACTGCTAAACCTGAGTTCAAAATCAAGCAAGGGCAGCACTAATGTCCTGTTACACTGTCAGCTGTTTGGCTCCATCCATGAAAACATTACTGACTAGCTAATTATTGTTACAAATGTGCAGCAAAACACAATAATTGGTCACTATTTTCGTAACTATTTAAACTAAAGCTTTATTGCAAAATTTATTATCCATGCACATTTCTCTTTTTAAAAAATATTTAAAGAAAAAAAAGTACAAAAGAAAAAAAGTAAAAAAAACCCGTCCTCTCCCCCTCTTGCAGCAACATCTCTTCTTTGGTCACGTGTTTACTGGCGTGAGGGCGGGACAACCTGTCACTCACACCAGATCCACCAATAGCAAACCACAACCATCCAACCAACTCCCAAAAGACACAATCAAGTCCCGTCCTACTAGTCTGAGAAGCCGTTTCACTTGGATATATGTCACAATAGGGAAAAAACGACTATCACAACTTCCGTTTCTTTTAGAACCCAACCAAGTGAACTGATTTACTTAAAGAAACAGGTCCCCCAAAGAGATAATCTGTTGACCTCTGCAACCGGATCAGTCTGGTTTCTGAACAAATCATTTCAATTGATTCAGCTCTGACTCAAACGAATGATTCTTTGATTAAAGGGATACTTCAGGATTTAGCATTAAGCTTTGTATTAGTAGAAAACCTGTAGTATTTTCAAATTACCGTGCTTTCCACCCTCATATCCCCCTGAGACGAGAGATTTATGTATTTTTTGTCTGGAAAAAATCCTCCGATGACGCAAAAATGTTCATATGTTCAGAGGCTAAAGACTACAGCCAGTAGTAGGGGCTGTCCCGCATGTTTTCAACCCGCCCATAGAGGGTGGGATCTCACTCACAGAACGTACACAAACACATATAGTGTCAGACATCTTTTTTTGGAAGCTAAGCTAGAAGGCTCTTGTTCTGTGGAGAAATATTGCTAAGAAAATTCCCGCTCCTCCGTGAGAGATACGAGACCGGTGTGTCTCACAGGTGTCGCTCATCAGTAATCACGCCACCGCCCTTTGCGCCGTTCTCCCGCGGCCCTTACTCGTCCTGCTCGCCACAGTAAACATAATGAATGGCGACTGTAGAACGCAAAAGCTGAATCCAGGACATTTTGGGCAATCTCGAAATCCCGGGCAGACTCATCACGGAGACTCACTAGTAGCCTAGACTTGTTGTTTAACTGCTGCGCTAGTTACCGGTAGGCGTGGCCTCCTAGGGCAGCGAAGCAAGTGCATTCTGGGAGTTGCTGTCTTTCATCCACATAAGCCAAAAGTACATTTTCTGGCTTTTCTCAGTCTAGAAAGCTCCAAATTCAAAAATAATTTTACATTTCTTCTACATAATTGACCCATTTTAAATACACATTCATCTTTCCAGAGGTGAAGTATCCCTTTAATTAAACATCACTTTGTGAAAGCTTCAGTTCTTGATTATTGTAATCGCATGGAAAAGAGCGGCTGTTACGTCATTCAAAATGTCTCCTTTCGCGTTCCCTGCAAGAAAGAAAATCATCTGGGTTCGGAATGACATGGCGGTGAGTAAATGATGCCAGAATTGCCATTTTTAGGTGAACTCTTCCTTTAAGGACAAAAAGCATTCTCTGCTGACCACATTGGTCACTGTTGTTGAGGGTTATGGTGTTATAAGCCTTCTTCTCTGGGAGGTCTTCCTCAGTATCTTTCTATAGTCATAGGGGTTGTCCTCACTTTGAGTCTCTGTAGAGGGCATTCTAGAGAACGAGTGCCTGTGGACAGAGAGGGGCAGATAAAGCATGACTTCACACAGAAAGGGAAAGAAAGCGTGGATATCTGCATCTTCTGCTCCAACACATTCATCATGTCTGCCGCTCAGTGTAAAGCAGTGTGAGGTCAACGTCTTGAGGAGTGCATTTGTTAAACAGACTGTGTTCTTTCACCTCTTCTCCTTTGGATCTTTAGGGATATCAGATTTCGGGACATCGGACAGCGGTGTCTCAGAAGAGCGTCTTCTCTCAGCGGAAGCCCTGCGTTTGCTGGAGCGCCGTCGGTCACTGGGAAGGCTTGTGGATTTACTGCTGCTCAAACCCTGGTAGTACTGGTCATCATTGTCCAGCTTTTTGGGGCTGGTGGGTGCAGAGAAAACAGATGAATTTGTACCTACACTCTCAAAAATAAAGGTTCTTTATTGGCACTGATGCTTCAGTGAAGATCCATTGGTCTTTTTCAATGCACAAACGGTTCTTTATCATGGAAAATGGTTCTTTAGATTAATAAAAAATGTTATTCACACTAAGAAAAGAATATTATTTGGTAAAACTTTACTTGAAGGGGTGTGCATAAGACTGACATGACACTTTCATAATCATGACTTGACATGTCTTGAATATGAAGGAGGTTGTATGCATGTTTATGACAACTGTCATTAAGTGTCATTCGCTCAATTATGACATTGTTAATGCAAATATGACATTGTTTGAGATGTCTTTGTTATGACAACTCGACATAAACCAATACATCATAACCTGTCAGTGTCTTTGTCATGACAATTTGACATTACCAAGACAACATAAATTGTCATAAATATGTCATAAACATGACATAGCAGATTCATTATCAAACTTAAGAAACCACTTAGCTTTATGGGTTAACATTACATTAAACTGTCATGTGGTTGGTTTTGACATTGGCTGTCATGAGGCCATTATAACTGTGTCATGAATATTTTTCTTAACCTCAACTACAGTGGTACAAATTGAATTTGTCATTAAAATGTTATAATGGCCTCATGACAGCCAATGTCAAAACCAACCACCTGACAGTTTAATGTAATGTTAACCCATAAAGCTAATATGGTTTCTTAAGTTTGATAATTAATCTGCTATGTCATGTTTATGACATATTTATGACAGATTGTGTTGTCTTGGTAATGTCAAGTTGTCATGACAAAGACCAGGCAGATTATGATGTATTGGTTTATGTCAAGTTGTCATAACAAAGACATCTCAAACAATGTCATATTTGCATTAAAAATGTCAAAATTGAGTGAATGACACTTAATGACAGTTGTCATAAACATGCATACAACCTCCTTCATATTCAAGACGTGTCATGTCATGTCATGATTATGAAAGTGTCATGTCAGTCTTATGCACACCCCTTCAAGTAAAGTGTTACCGTTTTTTTCCTATGGAAAAAAATTCTTCATGCCTTAAAATAGCTTGAATGAAACTCTTCACCCTTGCTTCATTTAGTATACGTGGACCATGAATATGCAAATGAGCCCCGCCTCCACTCACTCACGCCAGCTCACAGATTTACTCGGCCAGCTTACTGTAGTAAACGCTGCACAATGGTATCACTCTTTACAACGTCGGGCACATAACGGACATTAATATGATTAGCTATTTCCTTGACTATGTTATCAAACAGCTAATGATGTGTTGCTAATGTTACCATGTTCCCGTTCGCCATCTCAGTCTGCCTTCTAAAAATCAGCATCCTTACAAACGCTTTGAAAGGCATATAGTTCATCATAACATCATAATATCCATCATGTACATAAATCACCCACTACATTGCTAAATGTTCCTTATTTTTCATATCAACAGAAACATATACCGGGATAACGTGGCTTCTTGAGACTCCCCTGCTTCAGAGCGCAGTTAATGATATGCTAAAGCCCGCCGGCATGATGACGTGATTGGTTAAAAGGTAGTTTATGACGTCAGAAACACAGGCGATTTCAAACCGTGTTTTTGAGACTGTCTTTGGTCTTTCACTGCAGGCTTAAGGAGAAAATACTCAGTAATGGTGTTGACTGATGAATTTGCGCATGGTTTGTCTTAAAGCATATTAAAAACACCACAGACATATAAACAACATTAAAGGGTTAGTTCACCCAAAAATGAAAATTATGTCATTAATGACTCACCCTCATGTCGTTCCAAGCCCGTAAGCCCGCGTTTTTTTGCCGCGTTCAGTGACGCTGATGACGTGTTATCTGGTGCGCCCAAGCTTCGTTTACAGTCATTAATGACATAATTTTCATTTTTGGGCGAACTAACCCTTTAAACGCTTGATTTCTACCACAGGGGGACTTTAAGAACTGTTCACTTAAGTTCTTCGGGCATCCAGCAATGGTTCTTCTATGGCATTGCTGCAAAAATCCCCCTTCTGAACCTTTATTTCTGAAATAAGGTTTTCAAGGATAGTTCGCACAATAAAATTAAATTCTGTCATCATTTATTCATAAGTCGTTGATTTGTTTCTTCAAAAGGCTTGGAATAGTAACGTGTCATATGGACTATTTTTATGTTTTTTTTCCATCGACTTTTTTGAATGACATACGTTCGAGTGATCATGACAGAACTATTCCTGTTTACAATGCTGTATTTATAATTCTTTGCTTCAGAAAACCCTGCTTGCTGTTAGCCAAAGTTTGTTGTTCTCGATAATAAATAACGTCTATTTTGTCATAAGGCTGCTATTAATAGTTGTCCATTATGCTGTATTGGGTGCATTTCATGGCTGTTCTGCAGATTGTAAGCGATGGCCTTCAGGACAGCCTCTGATTCATGGCTCCTCAGCAGACTCAAATGGGAATGTTCTTTCAGTAGACTTTACCATTGTCTCAAGGCTTATGTAATGAAAACAGCCATCTATGAAACCAATGAAGCCAAAAGCCTACGGCCTGCCAGACCACTGATGCGATTACACCAGTCAGCGGCACCACTATACTGACGCTCTGATATCCAACAAACAACTGAATATATACATCATTATTATTTAAAAAATATTTATTATTATATTAACATGTATTGGTAACATTAGGTTCCATAAGGTTAGTGCATAGTTAATGCATTAGCTAGTATTAACTAACAATGAGAATACATTCGTTAAAGTACTTATTCATCTTTGTGAACATTAATTAATACAAATACGACTGTTCATTGTTAGTTCAGGTTTATTAACTAAAGTTAACAGATACAACTTTTGATTTTAATCACGTATTAGTAAATGTTGAGATTAACATTAACTGAGATGCTTTAGAAATATGTTTATTGTTAGTTCTAATGTTAACATTTGTATATTTTGCAAATAACAATTTGTATATTTTTATTGCCATAAAAATTATATTTATAATAATTGTAATATACATTATGATATGATGCTTAAAATAATAAAGTATTTAAGCATTTTTTCATTGTGGTAATACTGTATATGCTTTTTACCTTTATGTTGAGTTTAAGTTTTACAAAAAATCATGAAGGCATCTGTGTAAGGAGAATTTGTGTGGGAAATACCAACAAAGTATCATTACATGAAATATATTAATAAATCCAATTTATTTATTAAAAAAACGTATATATTATTGACATAAACCATGGTGTTTAAGAATATATTAAATATCAAAATGTAATGCATTATGATACTTAAAATAATAAAGAGCTTAAGATTTGTTGTTCTGCCTTAATGCTGAATTTATTTATGTTTTTAAATGAATCATTACATCTATGCAAGCAGAATTTGAGTGGAAAACGTCATGTGATTAATTGTAATTATTAAAATGACAAAAAAAGTATTAATATTACATACACATAAAAATATATAATACTTTAAAAAGGCCTAAACATAATATACAGATAATAATAATTTAACACTTTTTCATATGATACTGTAAATAATTATTAATTGTATTTAAAATTTGTTGTTCAAATTATTATTATTAAATGATGGCATTTGTGTAAGAAAAGGTTGTGTGGAAACCATCATGAAATTACGGTCAAATGTCAAAATTGCAAAAATCTAATTATAATGATTTTCTTCATGAAAGATATAATTCATTTTAGTTTTCTTTGAATTTTACAGTGAAATGTGACCTGGACACGGTTAGATTCATTCATATGGCAGTAGAAAGCGAGTGTTCTGCTACATCTCGGTGCTCTGTCTCTCCAGTCGTGCACATTTGTCCCGCAGGACTCCCTCATTCCCTGCATGTCCTCAGCCTGCTCTTATTTCCCCCCCCCCCAGATACCTTAATGTTCCCCTATCTCTCTCTCTGTTTCTCTCTTTCCACTTCCTCTGTTTCTCTCTGACACAACATGGGCCAGTTATCAGACAGAGCCAGAGATTTGTCCGTCCTACTGACCTTCTCACTCTTCAAGTCAACATGAAACCATTTTAACTCCTCGTGTGACGTACAGTAAGTAAAACAGGATTTCATGAATACTGTCAGCTGCCCATATTGACTTTATCTATTGCTCATTTGCTAAAACTTGATGTTGTGTGTCTGTCAGTGCTGTTATAAAGCGTCCAGCACCGGTGTCTGTCTGTCAGAGCTGTTCGTCACTCGACCGGCCTGTGAAATCTCCTGTCAGCGCCGCTCGTGGAGGTCCAGATTCATGTTCACACACACAATATTTCACACATGCTGTGACACTGCAGATATGTCACGCTGGCCTCAGGCCTGACAGGGAAACGCTACAGGAACTAGCCGTAATATGCCAGCTATTAGGATCCGCATTACAATAAAAGCCCTTTAATATAATTCGATCAATCTGAACATTGTCTATAATTCAGCTTTTATTGATTAAGTGCGTATCCTACATGCTTTATTACTGTATGTCTGGCATGAGAACATGTATCATTGCAATAAGTATTAGTGGTTATACTGAGAATTTTTAAGAGCAATAAAGATATGAACCTATTAAGAACTGGCCTGCCAACGTATTTTTTTTATTCACACAAATTTGTTTTTAGGTGAACTGATATCAGTCATGTGTGTTAGGATTTAGCTTTATATCCAGTGTTTTCTTATGCTTTACTTTGCTTTGCTTGGCTACGTTTGGAACAGTATAATATAGTCACACCTGTACTGTTTCTGAAGTATCTGTGCCAGTATGCAAATTTTCTTACCCATGATGCCCCATAACATTTCTAATTTGTGCATTGCACAGAATACTTTATTTAATAATGCATTGTGTTTGACATTTTGACCTTTGTAACATGTCTATCTTGCCTCTAAATTAGTTAAATGTTATTGGATTTAACTAAATTAAAATGCAAAATTTAAATAATGTCAAATGACCAGATTTACATTACTGTTCACAACTTTGGGGTCAGTATTTATTTATTTATTTATAAGAAATTAAAACTTTTTCGGTTTCAAATAAATGCTTTAAAAAAATCTATTCATTAACAGATAACAATAATAAATGTTTCTCGAGCAGTAAATCAGCAAATTAAAATGATTTCTGAAGGATCATGTGACACTGAAGACTGAAGTAATGATGCTGAAAATTCAGCTTTGAATAGAATGCAGTTATTTTAAATTGTAATTAATATTACAGTTTTTGTCGTATTTTTGATCAAATAAATGCAGCTTTGGTGAGCAAAGGTTCTTTCAAAGACTGTAAGAAGTCTTTCTGACCCCAAACTTGAACGGTAGTGTATTTCTGAGACAATAAATAGCAATAAATATTTAATACATTGAGGTCATGTGACAACAATGTAGTGTATTGTCTCATTCCACATCATACACTGTTTCATATACTATTAAAAGCTGCAGTATGCAGTGTATCATACGCAATATGCTGTACACTAGTATTCCATTCCAAACAGAGTGTTTCCTCTTTGTCTGCAAAGCAGCAGCATCTAGAGAGAGCGCACATTCGTGTTTAGTAGGCCTATAACGCTTCTGCTAACTGATTTACCTTTGTTTTCTCGGCCTCCTTTTATCGTCCTGGACAGACCTCTGGAAAAGACCCAGCATGAGAAAGATCATTAAAGCAGAAGCCCAGATAATCTTCAGATAAAGTGAGTGCCATTGTGTGATGTAGACTCACATGAATGAGTGTGTAGTACGTGGAGTCCTCTGGTGTGTTCAGGGTCTTTGGTTGTTGTGTGCGGCGAGGCGTTCGGGACTGCTTTGTGTCGGCTGTTGGTTCAAATCACATCAGAAAAATAAAAGGTGAAAATGGAACAGGAAAAACCAATCAACAATTAAAGGGTGCCTAGTGATATTTGACCTTGGAGCTTTTTGAACCCTGTCTGGATATTTTATTATGGTCCCCTGTGTGCACGGTGAACAAAGAGAATACAACAAATAATTCCCTGGTGGGAGCCCCATTGAGACAAACTGAAGAATAGGATCAGCACACAACATCCAGCTGACCTTTGACCCCTTTGTCCTTATCGAACAAACCGTGTGGCACGGTTTAACCCCCCGGGTGTCGCTATTTGTAATTATCCACTAACAATCAATCAGAAAAGCCCTACCAGTCACAACATGTTCCTACAGACTGACACAAACACGGTAGCTCTGTTACAAACTCTACTCTTTCTGTATACGGCCTACATAGGAAGCTCCCTTCTAAGGCAGCATCATAACTGAAATGGAAGCTCATAGGTGACTGACTTGAAACACTCAAAATAGGCTATTTATTTCACAATTGATTGCAATAGAGTTTGATGTTAGCATGTTGCTAAGCTAACTGTGCAACACTTTAATGAGCATAAAAATAGTAGACTTAGACTTTTGGTAACACTTTATTTTGATGGTCCCTTTTGAACATTCTGTTGACTATAACTTTACAACTAGATGTCAATTAACTCTCATTAAAGTATTAGTAGACTGTCTGCTTAATATCTGCTAACTCTTTATTGTGATGATCCTCCAACAGACTATTATGTAACTTTGCAACTGCATGCCAACTTATTCCAACCCTAACCCTACCAGTCTACTAATACTCTACTAACACTCTAATGAGAGTTAGTAGAGATGTAGGTGCAACTGTACTTATAGTCAACAGAATGTGTCAAAGGGACCATCAAAATAAAGTAAAACCAGACTTTTTGTATTAATATGATACATTACTGAAGGAAATACATTTATAATGTTGCTACAATTTTACAATAAGATCTAATTTGTTAACATTAGTTAAGAATTTGTTAAAATGAACTAAATTTAACAAACAATAGGCAATATATTTTACAGCATTTATTAACCATTGAAAATGCTAGTAATTAATTATCTTATGATAACAGTTGCAACTTTTGATCTTAAAAATATTAGTAAATCTTGATTACACTAAGATTAATAAATGCTGAAGAGTAATTAATTGTTCATTGTTATTTCATAAGTAATGTACTGTATATGTTAACAAATAAAACCTTATTGTAAAGTACTACCATAATTTCTCTAATTTTTGTTGAATTTTTTATGATTTTCTTTACCTTGTTCTGTTGCAAAGAGTTCCGCCTGTACCTTAGTCATGAAGGATACATGCGATTTTCACCAAAAAGTGATAAGTATGAAGAATAATTTGACATGCTTACTGTTTTGAAACAGCCTTCATGTAGAGAGCACACCTATGATGCCTAAAAATGCTGTAAATGTAGGCTGGCTAGGTTTTGAAACGGAGTTATAGAGTGTTACACACTGGAATGTCTTTGATAGAGAATACTGTTTTTATGAAATATGATCTTAGAGATCAACAACAAAAGATACAAAAATGACCTTTGTTGTATTTGAATATCTGCTAGCTCAAGCACTGTTTATCATGTAGAAAAGTCAGGTATGAAAGAAAATTAATCAACGTCCAGCAGGACCAGTGGGAACAGGCTGGAGAGTTTGTCATATTTATTGAATGTGTCTCTTGGAAAGGTCATCAGCCATTCTTGATTGCTCAGAGGTATAAAGCCAATTTGCAGCTCTTATATTAATGCTTGCTATAATTACCGGGGCAATGCGATTAGCATTTAAAAAATCTTTCATGTACACGTAAATGTGACTGGCATTCAAAGGGCACTTCTATGTGGAAACAATAATAATTGCACAATAATAATTGTTTCTACACAGAATGATTCTGGTTACAATTATTTATTATGATTGTGGAGCTCACAAATAGATTTTACAATGGCAATAAATCATTGATAAACTTGTGACAGATGACCACAGTATTTACAAAACAAATTAAAATCTAGATTTTTGTAGAACTTCAGCTTTCACAGAAATTGAGACTGTGTGAGAGAAGAAAACCACATCCGTCATAAACAAACCATAATCACTGTTGACAGAATAATCCAGATTCATTTAGACATATCAAGAATAATAGAATCTGCAAGAATTATCCTTCCAAAAGCAATTAGATATATCGCAACAGAAATCAAATGAAGAGTAAATCTGTGCAGGCGGGGGAATTTTCTGATGACACATCTTGTTGAGCTCAATTTGCCTGTTGTGGCATCCATTTTTTGATATGATCAGACAGTCACCGTTAGAGAAAAGGAAACTTCACATACTGATAAAATCGACAGCAAGCAAATATAATCAAGGTAGAGCTTTCCTACAGCTATTTTAATCTCCATCAGAAGCAGTCTTGGATAGTGCGCTAGGAATACTGAAAACATTAGCTATATTTTTCCATCTTTGAAAAAAAACATTTGTTTTCTGTGCAAACAACCAAAGCCCTTGTGAAAAAGAAGTATATTTTAACATAATTTTAAAAAGAGTACCTAAGTAAAAGATGGTAACACAGTTGCTTATAAGATTGTATATTACTAGCAATGTTTAGTCATGTTTTAGGACACTTAATTGCATGTCATGTTTAGCTTAAAGGGATAGTTCACCCCAAAATTTAAATTAGCCCATAATTTACTCACCCTGAAGCCATTCTATGTGTATATGACATTCTTCTTTCAGATGAATACAATCGGAGTTTGTATTAGCCAGGACATAAAAAAATGTCCTGGCTCTTCCAAACTTGATAATGAGAGTGAATGGCTGTTTGACTTTGGAAGTCCATCAAAGCGCATCTATTCATGGTTAAAGTGCTCCACGCGTCTCCGGGGGTTAATAAAGGTCTTCTGAAGCGAAGCGATGTGTTTGTGTAAGAAAAATATCCATATTTAAAACTTTATCGACTAAAATAACTAGCTTCCGGCAGACGGCCGTAATTTTCATTGTTGGGTCAATTATCCCTTTAAATGAACATGAAATACAGTTATGGCGCTTTTCCACTGCTGGTACGGCTCGGTATGGTTCGGCTCGGCGCGGCACGGTTCGGCTCGCTTCGCTTTTCCACTGCGTGGTACGACTCGGCTCAGCACGGCACGGCTCGGTTCACTTTAGCTCGGTTTGCTTTTCCACTGCAGTTAGTACCGTTTTAAAGTGGGTGGGATTATAGCAGTGCCCTCAGATTTCTGATTGCTTAAAAAAAAAAAAAAACTTGGAGGCAAAATATATTTTAGCGATTATGTGAATTACACTGCGCAAACCAAAGTAATACTACCCACCGGATGAAGAAGGGTTGGCTCTCAGTCTCCACAGTACATCAAATATTCATTTTATTTTTCATGTTCGCATTTATGAGGAAAAAACAATGTTACGGACGTGAGCGGTCTGAAAGCGGCACTAAAAGATGCTTTAAAACTTTCACAGAGAAACAGAAAGCACAAAACCTTTCTTTAACCTGAATTTCGTTTTGTATTAATTGTTCTTCATTTTAATCAATGTTTCATCAACCAATTGCCTGGATTTAATAAATAAGAAGTAAATATAGCAGACGATAGATAGGAAACGGAGGCGCCGGCGCGCGCGTGAACTGGAGCTCGTCTCATAAATGAACCGAAACTCAGCATATAATGTAGCCTACTTGCCTCACATGTCTACTTTTAAACAGAACAATTCAAAACTAAAGAAAACAGACTACAGACTGCTCTCTGCTTATGTAATCCTTATGAAATGTGCATTTCTCTCTGGCGTGTTCACTAGGCTACTAAAGATCGCGAGTCAGCATCGTCAACTTCATCTTAGCCGACAAAGAAAACACTTGTTTATTAATAAACAATTAAAATATCTCCTTGCTATATTTTACATATTCATAATCATTACTTTTGCCGGTTCTTTGTAAAGAACAGCGGTGGCTGTTACTGGCTATTTAAATCTAGCGGGTTTGACGTCTCGCAAATACTATGACGCTGGTAGTGACGATTCTGTCTGACCAATCAGTGATCTGCAGTGTGTTCATGTCACATCTTAGTATCGGTACGGTACGCTTGGAACCTCGACAGAGGTGGTACCATTTAAAGCGAGCCGAGCCGAAGCGAACCGTACCGTACCGTACCATGCAGTGGAAAAGCGCCAAAGCGTGCCGTACCGAACCGTACCATGCAGTGGAAAAGCGCCAAAGCGTGCCGTACCGTACCATGCAGTGGAAAAGCGCCATTAGTTGAACTATTTAAGTAGGGCATCTATGTCTTTATATGTAATTTCATAGTTACTTCTATTGTCTTTGAAATATGGTTAAAGTGTACTGCTGAATGTACTGACAAGCATTGGTGATAAATAATTATATAATAATTATCGGTTTGGAAAATTAACAAAAACAATTATTATTATTTTTTTTAATTTTGCTTCCAAGCTTTGGTCTACCAATCAGTTTGGGGGAGGGGGTTGGGGAGAGAGCGGCCAAAAGTACTGAGAGACATGATTTAAGAGAGATGTTTACCTGGTGGCTGATAGCTGCTCATGTAGCCATTCATGGCTTGTCCTTTCACAAACATCCCATTTTTGCTGGGGTTGAGCTGATGGGCAAGGATGATTTCGTTTAACTTCTTCTGCAGGGAAAGGTAATCTTCAGAAGCCTTGTTTACCTGAGCAGGTTACAAAGAAATAAGAGTTTTATATGAGAAATATGAGAAAATATGAATTTTGTGAAAAAGACTTGTGAGATTTGTAACATTTATGAAATACGGGTTTGGATTGACATCAGGGTGGGTAAATGAGACCAGAATAAAAATCAAACTAAAATAAAAAAATTATCAACACCTCTTTGAAGAGCGACTCCACTTCCTCGTCCTGTTTTTGTGATGTAGCTTTCAGGTTCTTTCTGTCTTTGTAACCTCTAAAATTGCTCTGGATTTTAATGGCTGCCTGGTGCTCGTCGTATTGGCCTTCCTCATCCTGAGTGTCCTCCTCTTCCTCAACCTCCTTCTGTTCTAGCTGAACATCTGTGATATCCAGACCTTCCTCATTCTCCTGCTCCTCCACCTCTTCTGACATTTCTTGCTCGCTTCCTGTGGCTCCTTCTCTCTCAGCTCTCAATCTCTTTCTCTCCTTGTGGCCTCTGAAATTGCTTTGTAAAACAGTTGCGGCGTGTTCTTCATCTGCCCCTGATGGACTGGAGTCTAGGTCTTGGTCTAGCTCAAATTCTACTGGAGGAGGTGGAAATTCGTCAATCAGAATGTCTGGTTCTGGAGCTTCTGGATTAGCCAGATCCTCTTTAGTTTTTTTCCTTGGTATTTTGCCTTCGTCCTGGAGTCTTTTACGCTCTTTGTGGCCACGGAAGTTGCTCTGAAGGACCACGGCGGCTTTGGCCTCTTCATCGTCTCCAGCTGGAGTCTCATCTTCTTGTTCCATTTCCTCTGTGAACTCTCTCAGTTCTTCAGGAGGTGGTGGATCTGGAATAGGAAGCTCCTCCTCAACTAAAGGACTCTGTGTCTCCGTCTTCCCTCTAACCGGCATCTTCCCCTCCTCCTGGAGTTTTTTACGTTCTTTATGACCTCTGAAGTTGCTCTGTAGAACAGTGGCTGCTTTGGCTTCCTGTTCAGTGTCCTCATCTCCTCCACCTGCAGCCTCTTCCTCAGTCTCCTTTTCTTCCTCTATATTCTCCTGCCCTTCCTTTTGTATATCATCCAAATCTTCTCCAGAAGTATCTTTTTCAGCGCTGGATGAGGAAACGTTCAGCTCATCCCCGGTCAAGGTCTTGTTCCGTTCCCGACGCTCCTTGTATTTCTTCCTTTCTTTGTAACCTCGGTAGTTGCTCTGGAGGACCACAGCAGCCTTTTCATCAGCATCATCCATTTCCATTTCACCTCCTTCCTGTGGCGGCTCCTCTGAATCTGGACCATCTGCTTCAGATGGGACCTCGGTCCCTTCCTCTGTTTTCTCAGTCTTTTCCTTCTGCATGGCTTCTCTGTGTAAAATAAATCAGTTTATACAACCACATCAATGTCAAATATTTGATTCTATAAGTATCTGACTGGTCAATTGCAGCATTAAGGGCCAGATTTACTAAACAGGGCAAATTAGCGTGAGAGTGCAATTCCAAAAAAGCACAGATGGTAGTGGAAAGTTCTTTGCGTGATCTACGTTTTTCTAAATTAAAAAAACACAGACACAGTCAGATCATTTCCATAATAACCAATGCAATCTACCAAGAACAGAGCAAATTAACGTCTGGTTTAAGACATGCTTTTCTTACAAATACCAGTAAATTGACAAGCAAAAACCTTAGTTAATCACCTTGCATGATCCATTTAAATACTCTCCTCCCATAAATTTTGAGTCTGAAAGGTTAACTCCTACAAATGCATATGCAACAAGGTCAGCCGCATAAATAATTCTATCCATGCCTTCCAGCACTAATTTTTCACTGCGTGTCTGTTATAAATCCTGACAGTATTTTCTTAACGCCAAAAGACGGTTTGTGCTGGCCAAGCTGTTCGTAAATCTGGCCCTAAGTGTCTAAGATTTGAGTATATCCATCCATACATCTTCAAAAAACGGTTGTCAGACGTAGGGTTGGGGGGAAGCTGAAGCCTATCCCAGTATCTTGGGCTATAGACAGGGAAACATCATAGAAGGATGGCCAGTCCACGGCAAGGCTAGCATACAGACGGATACACATTCACACTTACACCTATGGACAATTTAGTGTCTCAAGTTCACTTATTCCACATATCTTCATGGATTGTGAGGGAAACTGGAGCACCCAGAGGAAACCCACGACAACACGAGAGAACAGCCTGGACTCTAATTGGTGATGTTAATGACTCTCCAAGGTATGTCAACATACCGGTGTTACTGGTGTCTCTCATATCACTTCCCTTCTCTCATTTCATACCAACACAAGTTGGAATAGCTACTGTAATCAACCTCATCTTGCTAATGTAGTAAGGCCATTTTAATAATTAATTTTAATGGCCACCATATACCTTTTGTTAGATAGCTTGAGTCCCCAGTTAAAGCAAGCAACACATTCTCATCCTTTGGCGTCATATAGGTGACGCCATATGACATTTCGTCGAAATCTTACGCACATGGCATATATAACACGCACTGTTATGGGTAGGTTTTGGTCTGGGGTAGGGTACGGTTATGAAGCCTTGGGATCTGCGTCTCATATTGACGCTAAAGGATGCCATGTGCGTAAGATTTCGACAAAATGTCAAAAGCATCACATGTATGACGCCTTGGGATGAGAACGGCTGAAGCAAGAATATAAAGACATAGCTTGGAAGCACAGTGAAGCAGTAAGAAAAAGAGCTTGAAAATAGAGAATTTAAAATGACCTTTGATGGACTAAATATTATTGATTTTGTTTGTTATCAGATTCTTTAAGCAAATCTCCAAGAGAATAAAATCAGATGGAATAAGAATAGGTCTTACTTTTTCCTCTTAAAGCTCTTCCTCTCTTTGTGTCCCCTGTAATGGGCCTGGATCTTTGCAGCAGCTTTGTTCTTTTCCTCTAGCAACTCCTTGTATTTCTGCCTTGCCAGATATCCTCTGCACACTGCATGAAGAAGGTGTGATTTAGTCATCATGTATGACTTCTAAACCCATTTAAAGTGCCCCTATTATGGATTTAGCTGTATGTGAATGTAAACACTCTGCAAAGAGTCAACTCTGAACCGCCCAAACGAGTTCTTTGGAGTTTGAATCTTTTCTCGCGAAGTTCACACGTCACAACTTACTACATTTGCATGCCCGCCTACGTTCTGCATGGACAGGACATCTTGCTGTAGCTCGTTCGTGTGAATATCATGTCGTCAAGACGCTGTGCTCTCCACTGTGAAAGTAAATTTGGTTTATTTTGCATGAGGCTGTGAAGAATCAGTGGTTAAAATGAATCTTTACCATGATACCACAGCAGTATAATCCCAAACTTTTGCTGTGTTCCCTTCATTTTACTGTGTTACAAACTGTGTTTATGTTACATCAGTCATTCACGTTAGTGCTGGGCTTACACATGCGCTGTTATTGATACAGTTCCCTCATGTGCAACGAAATAAATTAGAAATATACTAGGGCTGTCAGTTAAACGCGTTATTAACGGCATTAACGCAAACCCATTTTTAACGGGGTTAATTTTTTTATCGCGCAATTAGCGGTCTTTTTGGCCTAGGAAACTTTGTATTTTTTTCACATGCTTTTGCAACAGGACGCGGCATGCGCGGTGCTGCGCTATGAAACCCATTCATTTCAATGGCTTGCGCCGCGCGAGGACGTTTTGAAAGCGCAAGCCGATCTAGCTAGACCGGAAACAAAACAACAGGCACTTGTTTGGGTCTGCGAGCCGGCCAAATAGTTGGTTAACGTTACGTTTTGAGTGGTTGACGAGCGCGAGACGCCGAAATGGATGCCAATAAGATTCTGAATTGAAAGTTTACTTTTAAAAAGGTGCCAAATGGTTCTATTGACAAGACCAAAGTGATCTGTGTGTTTTGTCGTTGTGAAATGAGCTATTATCATCGCAGCACGTCCAGTCTGAAATACCACTTGATGATGGCCAAGCACACACACACAGCTGATGCGAATTCTCCGCCCCCTCGTCAATACCTTGTCAGTATTTCTTTCACCCTTTTATTGATGGACAGTGTTACATTGTGTGAGAGATTATTTGCTCCAAGTGAGAATGTTAGTGTGGAATTGAACAGTATTGTCAATGTTGTTTTCAATAAAAAAAACATTTGCACAAAGCAAGGCGATCCACTTTTCCATGTTGATAAGAGCATTAAAATGAGAAAAAAGAATGGGACAAAAAGAAATCAAGAGACATTTAGAATAGATAAAAATGTGCGATTAATTGCGATTAATCGCAAGTTAACTATGACATTAATGCGATTAATCGCGATTAAATATTTTAATCGTTTGACAGCACTAAAATATACCCATCGGTTTGTTGATAGACATCCACTTGTAAATGCTGATGGTGAGGAATTACAGCTGCTCAAGTCCGTGCGATGGAGGTTCGGGTTCAATAACTAGTTCTTCCAATGTTTCATTTACGGACTCGCGTTCGGATTGATATGGTAAAATCGACGTCATTGTTTTTTACTGTCTTTAGTTTACGGTGTACAATCGCTGAGCTGTAGGAAGCCTCCGGATGGAGCTGAAGTTCAGTTATGGCAATGGGCGTTTATGTTTTCGACACGCGCTGTACGCGGTAGACCAATCACAACAGACTGAGCTGTCTGGCCAATCAGAGCAGAGTAGCTCGCAAAAAGGAGGGATTTAGAGAGATTGATTCAACCATGGAGTCGTTTGAGAATCATTGAAAAATGTGGTGATGTGCAATGTTTATTATGAGAAAATGAAACAGTTTTTGGACCTTTGATGCATGTGAACCTGTTGTAGGAGACTCCAAAACAACATTAGGTGACTTTAAAATAGCATAATAGGGGCACTTCATAGTCTCTTCAATACTTTTTAGGATTTTTTTTGTCTTACAAGCTTGAAATTGGGTTAAAACAACTTCAGACTTTGCTTTGCTTTTGTCATCAGCCACTGTTTTCCGAACTTTGTGTCCTCTGTATGCTAGAAGAAAGAAGATTTTAGAGCTGGTTCAACAGATTATTGGACTTTTTGCATTTTAACATCCGGTCAACAACATAAGCTCACCTGATTGTAACACCACGGCACTTTGTTCTCTCTTTTCCAGCATCAAACGATATCGTCTGAATGCCAGCCAGCCCCGTACACATGCCTGGACTAGAACAATCCGGTCCGTGGTTTGCCTCACCATCAGATTCAGCTGCTCCGCGTGATAGTACTTAAGAAAGACCTGAACAAATAATGATCTAGTGAGCTTTGTTGAACATCAACTGCAGTAGTTATTAATGCTTTTCTTAAACAAACCTTTGTTTTGCCCAGAACCCAGTTCTCTAGTTTGGCCTTCTCCAAAATAACCGCACATGTCTCTGGATTCATTGCTGGCTCTTCATTGGCTCTAAATGCTAATATAGAGTACCTGAAAAATCCCAATGGTTAGTAAAACGTTGAACGTAACAACAGAAATTCTACACCCAGGAGGCAATCTCTTTTTCACCGGCAATGTGCTAGTGCTGGTACAGGAACTGGTGGTCCACTCTTTCCTTGTCTTTGAATTTTATTTGCCATACATTTTATAAACTTTTGATTGTTGAATCAAAGCCAGTTTGTGATGGCATAATAGATTCTTAATTAAATTACTTTGGATGTTAAAATAAGTTTTCAAAACCAAGATCAAATATCCTCATGGGCTATAATGGGTTTCATAATGAGTTTGTTTGTTGGGCAGGTTTTGTACACTCTTAAAAATAAAGGTTCCAAAAGGGGGTTTTCGCAGTGATGCCATAGAGGAACCATTTTGTGGAACAATAAACAGTTCTTAAAATAAAATAAAAATTCTTAGTGTGAATAAGTACATTTAAAAAAACTATCTAAAAAAAAAACGTATGCAATGGAAAGGTTCCGTGGATGTATAAGGGTCTTCATGGAACCATCAATGCCAATTAAGAACCTTTATTTATGTCGTCAGTGTAGTCACATTACGTCATTGTTCAGTCCTCAAGTCAGTGGATACACAGCCTGGTTAAGAGGTCCCTTGGCAGGGTATTGGCTCCAGCACCAACACAGACACCAATTAGGTGGAAAAGGGGTTTATGCAAAATTTATATGATTGTATCATCTGTCTGACCTCTCAATGAAGTTGTTGAAGAGAATGCGGTGAGAGTAACCCTGTCTGCGGATCTTGGCCGTCTCTAGAATTCCAGTGTAGCGTAGTTGGATCAGAACCTTCTCCCTGTCGAACTTGTGGGCTTGACGATCATTATTGGGTTTTATGCAACGGACAAAGTGAGGCTGGCCTGCCACCATCTTTGATAACAGGTCCATTAGAGAATACTGCAAAGTACAGTGAAAAAAAAGCAAGATTGTGAACACGAGTGGGACCATTTTATTGGTTCTTATCATTTTTTCAAGTCTTACTCTGAAGTAAGAGGCAACAGTTTGAGTCTTCATGTTGGTGGTCTCTCTGGGGTGATGTGTGCTTTCCCCTGTGCTCTCCGCCTGTACAAACACAAAATATTCAGCATGCTGATCATGAAAATCTACAAAAGGGACAATGTTCAAGGGACAAGGTTCATAAACATAAAAAGGGGTCTTTTTTTAAACATAAATCTGTGTTTATAATACATTTATGCCTCTTGGAGACAAGTCATACAACAAATCACCATTTGCACAGTGGCAACGGGCAAGGCAAGGATTGATTTGTCATGGTTGGGAGTTAATTTCCGAGAGGAAGACTGAAAAAGAAATGCATAAAGATTGTGATAAGACAGTCTGATTTGAATCCAGGAAAATATATAAAACTGTTCGTTAAAAATAGTAAAAAGAATAATAATATACATGAAATTAACTACATGATTCATTTGCAAAGCATTCATTTAGGTGGAACTTATGCCAATCATCAATAAGACCAAATTTCCAATTGACGGCCATGAATTTTTTTCACCAGGCTATATTATCAAGGTGTTTTCGATATTGAACACAAAGCAAAATCACACACTGACACAGGTGCTTTTATTTTACGTGGGCTAAAATGGATGGAATCTTTCATGTGAAATTTTCTAAAGACAGCATGCTGAAATATGCAAATTAATGGTAATGTATGCAGGTCTTCATCAAAGACATCATTTCAATATGTTTAAAACCCTCATTCATTTCAGAGTACAACCTGAATGACAGCTCTAAGTAGCTCAAATGTTCTCTTAATAATTCTCTTAGGAATAATGAACTTAATGCTAAAAAATACAACTTGGAACACAAGTAGAGGTTTTTAACAAACACACAACTGCACAGAAACAATTCACAATTCTCCTTATTCCACAGGGACACTCAATTCTAATGAGCATTATATGAACTAATCAAGCTGCAAATCAGTCAAATCTACAAATGCATTAGCTATTAGGGAGCTGGTAGGGTCACGTGACATGAGAAGATACTCTTTCATTCTCACAGACATGGGTCATTTCCAAGAAATGGTGTCTCCATAACTACTGTCGCAATTAATAGACTTTTGGTGCATTATTTGATGGGGCTGACTGTTAGTATATAATACGAAAGAACTTTTAAAATTAAACTGAATTTTACTTGCTAAATGTTCGATTCTCTTAAAAGTCAATGTGCATGACCCTATTCACCACCATGGATATTTTGACATTTCCCCTTTTCATTTCTTTTTAAAAATCATATGTTTTATTGTACCCCATGATGAGTTTCTCTTTACATTTTTATCAGTATTTCATTGTTTACACTTACATTGGCCCCATCAAGCTCAGCATTTCAATATCTTTATTTATTCTTGGTACAAATAATGAGAATAATCACTGTAAATCATGTGATGTGCTGCAAATTTATGATATTTGCTAGTTAAGGCTATCATTTTTGTATATTTTAGCAATGCATTTTATTCAACCCTTGAACATTTTAAATGTTACTGAGCTAGAATAAACATTTTTTGGAAAGATAAATGCTTCAAATGAAACAATAAAAAAGCACCATTTCCTGAGAAAGACCCACATGTACACAAACAGACACCCCAAAACAGTGAGCACAGTGTCGGCTGGCAAAAGGAGCATGTCCTTTAAGAACACTTCTCTACTGTACAGCACACACACTACAGGATCATTACCTCACCGACTGATACAGTACTGAACAACATAAGACCCTCCAACTTTAGACAGAGGACATTATAGAAAGGAGGAGTGGACATTTCATTGATGGAAAAGTAGAAGAGAAGGAGAGACAAAATAGAGTGGGAAAGAAAATTAGTAAAGCGAAAGTACTGGAGCTCCTTTCAGATAAAAAACAGCACAACCATGATTAAATTACATATGAATGTCCAAATTTACATATCAATATCAGGTTTCAGCAACTTATTGTTGCTCATTTCACTTCCATAAAACTAGCCAATCAAAACAGAAGTCATTTCCATATGGAAGTCTTAAAGGCACAGTGGCAATAACAGACCAGACAGGAAAAGAGGGCAAAACAAGGTACCTTGGCAAAGTTAATGGTGCGCTGTGATTGTTGCGTTCCCATACGAGCAGAGCCCGCCGCCTTGCCTTTAGTGTGAGCCAGGTTACCTGCACAAAGAGAAAGGTCAGGGGAAATATCTACTCTCACTGTGATAACCACACACATTAGAAATCTGCTGTTGATCCTTTATTAGATAAGTCACACGTTGTTCAAAGATATAATCTACCATTTATTTCAAGGTTAACCATTTCAAGGGCACAGAGATATATGGTCTTTAGAGGTCAGTGCTGTGACAGATAAATACGCTTCACAATGGTCAAGTAGCTAACAAAAGACTTGTGAATGAAGTCTAGTTTCAAAATCCCCGCAGACTTCCTGGAAACAATCCCCAGTGAATCTCATTGGATGTAATCGACTGTGTCAGTCAGACGACCTTCATTCATCACGTTAGACCACATGGGAGTGAGCACATTTTCTTTTCTAGAGAGAGAGAGCTACATTGGCCTGCATTCGTTCAGACCAATAGATCAACATCCATGCTTAATGTTTCAGACAGGATGGTGTTTGCACTGTCATTTCGAGTCTGTGTGATTGTGGTGTGACCTAATGCAGTATATCTAATAGAAGGTGACTATACTGTACTTACCATTTGGCTGCTCGTGCGAGCTAGTATTGCTTTCTCTAGTGGATCACGTAAAGGATTTTTAAAGAATATTTTGGTTTTAATGGTCTGGTTTCACAGACAGTGCTTAGTCCTTAGTTAAATTAGGATATTTAAGTAGCTTTTATAAACTTACATTAGAAAAATCTTGAAACAAAAAAATGGCATAGTTGAAGACTTTAGTTAGTAATCTGGGACTAGGTTTAAGCCTTGTCTGTGAAACCGGGCAAAGATCTATTAACAGAATCTGTGTCATGTTGTTAGCAACCATGTCACTCGTCCGTCAGTGTAAAGGACTTAATGTGCTTATTATGAAAGACTTTGGGTCATGTTGACTGGAGGATTTACATTGTATATATGTACAGCTTTTTTATATTTTTTTTATTAAAGCATTAACTTAAATTCTTTCCTACCATAAACAAGTGTTGTTCTGTAAAATTTCACTACTTTTATTTGTGGATGAACTTAAGATTTTGTGGCATTTCCTCCATGCAAATGGTTCTTGATAGTTTATTGGAAATTCAGTTTTATTTCTCCTGGATTCTGCGTTTTATGATTTAATATAAATTTATAATCAAAACTGGAGCCTAATGAAATTAATCATTTAAACTCCATCTAATCTTTTAAAAATGTTATCAAATGAAAATATAACCCAAAAAAAATGGCAACAAAACATTGCATTTTTCTCAAATAAGGTGCTACACAAAAACTGTAACCTGTATAAATAAATAATGGGCTAAAATATATTGATTGTATATGATATTCCTTAAAATAATTATAATAATAATCTGTTCATAATATAATATCATATAAATAATATAATATAATAATTACTACTACTTTTGAGAAATACATTTTAAAATAGATAATAGTAATATATATTTTTGTTTGAATGATTCAATCAATATCAATATCTTCAAGTTAAAGTTTTATTTTGGTTGGTTGTAGTGAAGACCTTTGAGTTTCAGTATTTGTATTTTATTATGTATTGCTGATAGCTTTTATCAAATTTGCTATTAAATACTGAAGATGTGAAGATGAAGTTGAAGATGACGTTCATGTGGAGTAATTCATATAAATTTGAGACAGTAGATGCCAAAAACACCATAAAATTGAGTAGGTGTAGTCGACAAAACTGCGCTGCTCATTCACACAGAGACACATGGAACGGGTGAGCTACATATGTAAATTGCTTTAAGTGTTTATTATCATTATCCTGGATTTTTATTTTCTGATAAACATCAATATACATGTTTCGCCCAACCCTAATGTAGGATTTCATGTGATTAGAGCCTCAGCCCTTGTTTCTTGCTTTGCCAATAAAAAGCAATCACACTGCAGGACTCAAAAGTCATGGAGACTGGTGGATGTACTCAAAGCAACAAAATGTCCCCATTTCCTTTGTTCTCTGGCAGCACAATGGAAAACCGAGTCCTTGAACCAGGCAATTACGCAATGATAGGACTGACTGACACATTAATAGAGGTCACTGTTTAGAAAATCTATCTCACACCGACAGGGCGAATTAAAAATACACACACACACACACACACACACACACACACACACACACACACACACACACACACACACACACACACACACACACACACACACACACACACACACACACACACACACACACACACACACACACACACACACACACACACACACACACACACACACACACACACACACACACACACACGCACACGTGTATATCTGGATGAATGTGTGTGGATGTGTGGGCTCCCAAGCAACCTAAAAGTATAATATCGGACAGAAACTGAAGCATGATGAACCAAAGGCTTAAAATGTTTCTACAGAGTAAAAAGTCAAAGCAAACCTGTTTTAGTGAGCGGGTGAGTAACCAGTTTACGGATCAGTTCATTTTCTGACGACCTCAGCAGAAGAACAATATCAGCAGGCAGAGCATCTCTGTTCTTCCCCAGGAAGCCGCTGGCATTATAGATCACCTAATCACATGAGAAACAAGATGTATTTACATCCAACAGGCTATTATCTTCACTTTAAGAGATGAAAATGAAAATTCTCTCATCATTCACGCACCCACACATACATAAAAGAAGATATTTTCAGAAACGTACAATAGAAGTCAAAGGTTTTGTTTCCAAAATTCTTTCAAATGTTTCTTCTTTTATGTTGCACAGAAGAAAAAAAGTCATACAGGTTTGCAATGGCATGAGTAAATGATGACAGAATTTTCATTTTTGGGTCAACTATACCTTCAATTATCCTTAATATCTGTTTCTGTTATTTATTTAGCTTAAATAAATATTGATAAAATATAAAATATTCCTACCTTGCCCGCGTAGTGGTGGATTCCAAAGCCCAGATCAACTCTCTTTGGTCTCCAGAAGTTTTTCGATTTTAAGTTGTCCTCAAATTTCTCTGATTAAACAAAAGATGTGTTCATTCAAATTAATTAATTCACTCATCCATCTATTCACTAGTTCATTTGTTCAATAGCTCATTCATTTATTTATTCATTTAACTGTTCATTGATCCCCTCATTCACGTCAGTTCATTCATTCACTCGTTCATACATTTGCTCATTCACCGACCTGAACCACACTCATTCATTAATTCATTGATCCATTCATGATATCATGACATACATGTGAATAAATTTCATCCATCAAAAGCTAGCTCATGGAAAACCAGCTAGGCGTCTAGTCTTGTGATATTGAATTATTAATCTGTCAGTTAAAGACTCCACTGAGAGAGTCCTCAGGAGAAAGCAGATGAGAACTTAGCATGCAAGTAAATGTTTGATGACTGTCTCTCCCTTGTTCTTGTGGGTCTGACCATACGTCTGAGTATGTGTGTGTGTGTGTGAGAGAGTGAGCAAGTGTTCACCTGGGTCATAACCCACCAGGTGAACACAGCTAAAGATTAAGGGCCCTATCATACACTCGGTGCAATGCGGCGCCAGGCTCGACGCAAGTGTTTCTTTGCTATTTTCAGCCCGACGCAGTTATCATTTTCACGTTGTTTAAATAGCAAAGGAAAAGACCGCGTTAGTAATATGAGCCTATATGCGGATGCACAACACGCGTACACTCTGCTTATTACACACAGAGGGACATGCAGCAGCACACAAACATGGCAAATATTAAAAATAAAAGGATTACAATGTAAAAGATTAATATTGTGTACATATAGATATGGTGGAATCCGGCTTGTCCTGTAGATGGTCTGCATGCACACTTTAACCTTAAACACGAGCAGATCCATTTGCTCTCTGAAGAAGCGTTCAGTCTTTCCGCTTTCAAATTCCGTCATGTAAATAGCGAATCCGCCATGGCGCGAGCGCAACTGGCTTTTAAAGGGAATGGGTGATGAGACTCTGATTGTTTTTTTGCACGTTACGCCCAAAACACACCCATTACTCATTAAGAGAATAGGGACAACCCTTTTAGACCATGCGCTGGGAACGCAGACCATTTTTCCCATCATTAAACTAGCAAAAGTGGATTCGGACATGCTCTAAGTGCACTTGTGCCGTGCGCTTTAGAACATGCGCTTAGAGTGTTAAAATAGGGCCCATTAGCTCTATGATGTTTTAGGGAGGGGAACTTGCCGACGAGGGTCTGGTCGGTTGCCTGAGGAAAGCGACTCTCCTCGTCCAGCAGCGATAACATTCCCATGGGCTTCTGAAGGAACAGGTCCAGCAGCGGCCGGTTGTCTTCATATTCGATCACTCGAGCATCCACATCTTCGTTCAGATACTCATCCTGCAGAGAAACCACATGTTTTGATGAACTTTGTGAGGTTACTGGAATCAGATCTCTGAACCATCTGAACAGTTTCGTCTGACAAATTTAGAAGGAGATACTAGAAGCTATTTTGTTGAACTTTCCATCCATCAAAGAATCCTGAAAAAACGGTTATTTATCACGGTTTCCATAAAAATATGAAGCAGCACGACTGTTTTCAACATTGATAATAATAATATGTTTCTTGAGCAGCAAATCAGCATATTAGAATGATTTCTGAAGGATCATGTGACACTGAAGACTGGAGTAATGATGCTGAAAATTCAGTTTCGCCATCACAGAAAAAAATTGCATTTATATAATGAAATAGAAAACAGTTATTTTAAACTGTAATAATATTTCACAATATTACAGTTTTTAGTTAATTTTTGTTCTTCTTTCAAAAACATTCAAAAACCTTACCAACCCAAACTTCTGAATGGTAGTGTAGCTGTAAAACTAACAGTATTTATTTCTTTTGGATATAAAAAATTTAACCACAAAGTCCACACACAATTTTATGAAAATTTCTTCATCCGGTCCAGACCAAAACTGTGTTTTCTTTAATTCCTCACCCCCAAAACAGCATTAAAAGTATGATGGGTCACTTTGCATGTCAATTAGATGGTCTCTTTCTGTCTAAGTGTGGGTTTTTGTCCAGAATAAGCTGCGAGTGGACAATATTTCATGGTGATAGTCAAAATTCTGGTCGTGCGTGACTAATTCTACACGAAATGTCAAAAGAAAACTCTTTATTATCAGACAATGCATTTATATTTTGAACTGTCTTGTTTGATTACACTATGTCTCCGAATGTGATGTTTTCTGTGACCTTTACGCTTGATGCATGCTGTTGTTTTGCACCTGAATTTCTCCTTGGGGAAAGAATTTCTGTTCATCTATCCTCAATATTTGTAAGCTCTCAACAACACTGTTGAACTCTGCTGGATAACGCCTGGAGCTCCGTAACCTCCTAAAGGCAATTCATACTGCTATACGATGACTTCCTGTGAGCGAAACACTCAACCCGAAGAGCAAATGACCTGTCTGTCTTGTCTCTAGACAGCCATGTTGATAAATTACAATACACACATGGACCAAAATTGTTCACTGGCGAAATGCATCAACACACATACAGAAGCTTGTCCAAGAAATCTAATCTCTGGTGTAGATTAGAGCTTCTAGCCGTGGGTAAAGTCATCCAGCGAATGGGGAACAACCTCATTTTTTGGGACAGTAAGACTGCTGCTGACATACAAGCCTCAGGGATGCAAAAACAACAGCAATTCAAAGCAACACGGGCACCACACCACAAGAATAACAGAAAACATGCTCTCAAGTGTTTACTTGAGGCTATATACTCCTGAGCGCTCGGAGTAAAAATAAAAATATGGAGAACACACATCAACAAATATGATATTATTAGATTTTACAGGGGAAGCTCACAAAGCCTTTTTTGGGTCACATATCAATCCAAATTTAATGAACAACAAATTATTTTGGACCAATTTTGGACAATTCGCATTTTGGTATTATTGTTTTTATTCTAATGGCAATTAAGCACTCTTACCCCAAATTATCAGTGTAATTAAACTCTCATTCTCATTAATATGTATTATTATTTCATATATAAGTATTTATAGACACTAGCAGTGTCACGCTGGGGTTGAAAAAACCTGGATCTGTTGGCAAGCAGAGTACCTTTTAACGAAACCAAACTCAAACTTATACTTTTCAGGTTCTCTCGGGAAACAAAAACACGGTAAACAGAAAAACCATTGTTGTAATGATGATCTGACATCTAAGAGACAAACACAGGGCTGTAAATACACAAGCAAACTAACCAAGGAAACGAGACACATGTGCAGGGAATGAATCAAACAATAAATCACCATAGTAACACAATCAAACATAGGAAATAGAATGGGAAAACAGCAAAAAAAACAAATCGAAGTCAAACTAAGACAGACTCAAATTCAGATCACCTGTAACAAGTAGCTTGTTTTACTCCTTTTAATTAAATCTGATTAAAACGAATGTAAGTTTTTACAGTGTACATTAAAGATGATCTAAAAATGATCTAAAAGCACATTTTCCCCTAAAATCTCATTAGTATAATTTAAATAATCAAATCAAATTTTTGAAATGTGTAAACTATTCAAAAGTATTTATATTTTTGTAGTGGTATGTTTTACTGCCTTTTAATTTATACTGATTTATACTTTAAAATAATAGTAATTGCATTATAGTATGTTTTATTAATACATAAAATAATACTGTATTACAGTAATAAGAATCTATGAGAATCTATAAGAATCATCATTGATAAAAATGTAATAATAAATTCTTCAAAAAGTAAAATACATATTACAGGAAATAATTGTATTTAAAAGTATTTTTATTTTTGTAGTGGGATGTTTTATTCTGATTTAAACAAAGAAACAAAAAAACAAACAAATAAATGTTTTTACTGTATATGACCTGGGCATTTCCTATGTTTTTTTGCGAGATTTACTCATATAAATACCAATGAATTATGCATAAACCACACACACGTGGACTTCACACTCACACATTTACGTAAAGCAGCATTTGCTGTCTGCTTATAGAAACACCAGCAAAGTCAGCGGCTCCTGACGTAACCCTTGTTTCAGATGATTTATGAAGCCACTAATGTGGGTTAGTCTCAAACGTTTAGAGGCACCAAATCACTTTCCCCCCAAGGCTACAGTCAGTCCAGTCAGTCTGGGGAATTGCCACGCTTGTCTGCGTACAAAGAAAACCGAATATTCTGCTCCCCTTCCCTCCCTCTCTCACAGCACTGAGAAACCATAAATGATGAGGTGTTACCACCATTTAGATGGAAATAAGGTTATACTGAGATAGAAAAATAAAAATGCTCCCAAAAGGCATGGAAAAGCTTGGATTGGATGAGATGACTTTATCAGAGTCGGGATGTACCTGCTCCCAGGCGAAGATGTGCTGGTTGAAGTAGAACTGGATCTGCTCATTGGCGATGTTGATGCAGAGCTGCTCAAAAGAGTTCCTCTTAAAGTTTTCAAAGCCGAAGATGTCCAGGATGCCGATGTTCAGACCCTTGTCTTCCTCCCTGGAGAGAAATCCAAGGATAGAATCAGTTCCCTTTCGAACGGTCACTTCGTATTGCGTAGCTATACGCAGTGGGGAAACTCCTTTTCCTCGATTTACTGAAACCTATATGTAAAACGCATTTGCAGCTGCACAGCCAGCACACTGAGCGTCTGGCACGCTCATAGGCTGTGCTGCCGCAACTGCACAACCAATGGCGCGGGCGACTCTGACCTGCAGCCAATGAGCTAGCTCAACGTCAGAGCCCGTCAAGGGGGTGTGGCTTAGCCTATAAAAGACCCCCGAATTCGCCATTATAGCAGATTTTACTCCTTCAGCGACAGTATACATGTCCCTGAGCCTTTTACTGTGAATTCGCCGTCGAACAAGCCTTTCAGCCTGAGCGAGCTTCTCTTCAGCAGACTTCGCCTGCAAGCCGTCGTCTCCTGACGCCGTCTCACCTGTGGCTATCCGGCGACATCCTATATCCTTTCTATTATTGTGTTTGTTTCAGAATGCCTCGTTCATCCTGCGCCACGTGCGGAGGCCGTCTGCACGAGGCAGACCAACACGAGAGCTGCGTTTCCTGCTTGGGTGTCGACCACGCGGAGAATGCACTCTCTGTCGGCGGATGTGCGGCCTGCGACTGCATGCCTATCTCCGTGCTGCGCAATCGGCTAGCTCTCTCTCGAGACGGCGATGCCGCTTCAACCACGCTTCCCATTCCGAGGAAGAAGAAGCGTCGCAGCCAACGGCAACCGGAGGGTATGGAGATTGGTGAACGCACGCCGGCCGCGTCCCCGCGTGCTTCACTTTCTCCGACTCAAACGCCTTCACCGGTCCTGTTCACAGGAGACCAGCGCCCCCCCCCACACGTGGCGGGCCTCGTCTCCTTCGGCGGATCTCTCGAGCGCGACGACAGCATATCCATCGCCGCTTCTGAGGACGAATGGCCGGGCTCTCTCGACCCCGTCTCCGCTTCTCAATCTGTGGCCAGTGGATTAGCGACCAGGACAAACTCCGACGCCGAAATGCTTCGGATCCTGACGAAGGCCGTCGCGGACCTCGAGCTAGAGTGGGCCTCGCCCGAGGAGCCGCCTCGTAGTCGGCTGGATGGATGGTTTCTGGAGGGGCGCCAGCAGGCCCCGCGTCACAAACCGGCGCCATTTTTCCCCGAGGTCCACGAGGAGCTAACCAAGGCCTGGCGCGCTCCATACTCAGCACGTGTGGGATCTGCAGTTTCCGCGACGCTCTCCTCCGTGGATGGCGCAGCGGAAAAGGGTTATGAGTCTTTGCCGCCCCTCGAAGAGGCCGTGGCAGCTCATCTTTGCCCGAGCACTGCAGCTAGCTGGCGAGCTAGAGCCGCTCATCCCAACAAACCCTGCCGAAACACCTCAGCCCTCGCTGGACGCGCGTACTCCGCCTCCGGTCAGGCTGCATCGGCCCTGCACACGATGGCCGTGTTGCAGGTCTACCAGGCCAAACTCCTCCGGTCCATGGACGAGACTGGCCCGGACCCGGAGACCTTTCGAGACCTGAGGAGTGCTACAGACTTAGCGCTGCGTGCTACTAAGGCTACAGCACAGGCCATCGGAAGAAACATGGCGAGCTTGGTCGTGCTCGAGCGCCATCTTTGGCTTAACCTCACCGAGATTAAGGACGCCGACAGAACGAGGTTTCTCGACGCCCGGGTGTCCAGCTCCGGGCTCTTCGGCCCGGCGGTGAAAGGATTCTCGGAGAGGTACACAGAGGCACAGAAAGCGTCCCAGGCCATGCGACACTTCTTGCCGAAACGTTCGAGCTCCGCGACCAGCAAGCCCAAGCCGCCGCCTTCGCCTCATCCAGCCAAGCCGGTGAAACAGGCCTCTCAGCCCCGCCCTGCGGCTGATAGCCAACGCCAGCCAAGGCCCGCGAAGCGCTACCCGCTCCCCAGGCGTCAAGGCCCTCGACCCAGCGCCGCGGCCGACCAGGTGCCTCCGAAGTCGTCCTAGCACGGAGAGGAAAGAGAGAGGGCTCGTGTCTCGCGCTAGCCGGACCACCCTCGAAAAAACCGGCAAAACTTCCCACAGCTCCCTGTTCAGTTCAGGCGGCTGGGGATTTTATTATTGTAAACAGGCCCGCAGCAGTGAGCGCGTCTTTGCAAACAAACGCCGTTTTCACGGCGACCCAAATAAAGCACAAAAAGAGTATGTTTCACAATCACATCACACGGGTTCACGGTCCCCCTTCACTAGGCGGCCCCCGCCCTGTTGTAAGACTGAAATCCCCCCGGGCAAAAGCCGGTATAATCAGTCAAACACTCAGTATGTGCACAAATCACAGTGTAAGGGTATCAGGTCCCCCTATGTTAGGCGGTCCCCCCCATTCAGTGTGTCAAGCCCTAGCCACACGGGCGTTGGCCTGGCAAGCCATCCCTGGTGTGTCGAGTTGGGTCATAAACACTATAAAGCGAGGCTACTCGCTCCAATTCGCTCGCAGACCCCCGAAATTCCAGGCGGTTATCGAGACATCGGTGAGAAGCGGCGTGGGTCACGTGCTTCGCACCGAAGTTCAGAATTTATTAGCAAAAGGAGCGATAGAGTCAGTCCCTCCCGCGCTAATGTATTCGGGGTTTTACAGCCGCTATTTTCTAATTCCAAAGAAAGACGGCGGGCTCAGACCCATACTAGATCTGAGACGTTTGAACAGGGCTCTCATGAGACGGCCTTTCAGAATGTTAACACTCAAACAAATTCTCGCGCAAGTTCGCCCGGGGGATTGGTTTGTTTCAATGGATCTGAAAGATGCATACTTTCATATTCAGATCGACCCTCGTCACAGGCCATTCTTGAGATTCGCCTTCGAGAGGGAGGGCATATCAATACACCGTTCTGCCGTTCGGTCTGTGTCTGGCACCCCGTACATTCACGAAATGTATGGATGCAGCGCTCTCCCCGCTAAAAAGCCAGGGAGTGCGTGTGCTGAATTATCTCGACGACTGGCTGGTGCTAGCGCAGTCGAGAGACGAACTAATAATTCACAGGGATTTGATTCTCGGCCATTTAAAATGCCTGGGTCTCACAATCAATGTTGCCAAAAGCGAACTGAACCCCAGCCAGACTGTGGTCTTTCTGGGCACGGTTTTGGACTCGGTGACAATTAAAGCGCGGCTCACTCAAGAGCGCGCGCTATCTGTGCAGACACTGGCAGCCGCATTCAGGGCACGCGAGCGCGCGCCTCTGAAGAGGTTTCAGAAACTGCTTGGTCTAATGGCAGCCGCATCATCAGTACTCCACATGGGATTACTGCGCATGTGCCCGCTGCAGCACTGGCTGAAACGCCGTGTGCCAACCCATGCATGGCAGTCAGGCAGCCTGCGCATTATGGTGAATCACGGGTGTTTAAGAACACTGATTCCCTGGCGGGCTCAGGACTGGTACCGCGAGGGGGTGACCATGGGGGTAGTTTCCAGGAGGAAGGTGGTTTTTACAGACGCATCCAACCTGGGTTGGGGAGCGCTGCACGAGGGCAGGCCTGCCTCCGGCCTCTGGTCGAGCACGGAGCAGAGCTTACATATCAACTGTCTGGAAATGAAAGCAGTTGGTTTGGCCCTGAAAGCATTTCTGTTAAACCTCAGGGGTCACCATGTCCTGGTCCGTACGGACAACATGTCAGTGGTGGCCTACATAAATCGCCAGGGTGGTATCAGGTCGGGCAACCTGCATGCTATGGCGAGGGACCTCCTCCTATGGGCACAGGCCAACCTGAGCTCCCTGAGAGCAGCGCACATCCCGGGCGTCCAAAATCTGGGCGCGGATATGCTCTCACGGGGCAACACTCCCCTAAGCGAGTGGTCTCTGAACCCTCAGACGGTCAGTCTGATATGGGAGAGATTCGGCGAGGCCGAAATCGACCTTTTCGCCTCGAGAGCCAACACACCCACTGCAGGGTGTTTTTCTCGAAGAACAGGGACGCGCTGGCCCATCCCTGGCCCAACCGCCCCCTTTATGCTTTCCCCCCCATCTCGATGGTCCCACAAGTCATCGAACGGGTCAGGGAGAGCGGATGCCCAGTCCTTCTGGTGGCTCCTCTCTGGAAATCCAGACCATGGTTTCCGGAGCTGGTTAAGCTGTCAGACACGGTCCCCTGGCCCGTTCCAATGAGGAGGGACCTCCTCACACAGGCCAAAGGGACGATATGGCACCCCCGACCCGATTTATGGGCCCTCCATGTGTGGCCCCTAAACGGGTACCCGGGGGCCTTCCTGACAAGGTCTTAAGCACTATCTCTGAAGCAAGGGCCCCGTCTACTAGGCGTCTTTATGCTTTGAAGTGGTCGGGTTTTTCCAGCTGGTGCTCGAAAAATCGAGTTGACCCAGAGTCATGTGAGGTATCGGTGGTACTCTCCTTCCTGCAGGAGCTACTGGACGCGGGCCGCACCCCGTCCACGCTCAAAGTTTATGTGGCAGCCATCGCAGCGCATCATGCGTTGGGGGCTGGTCAATCACTGGGAAGAAATGACCTGGTGGTAAGATTTCTGAAGGGCGCTAGGAGAATTAACCCCTCCAGGCCCCCATCAGTACCTCCCTGGGACCTCTCCACGGTCCTCAGGGCCCTGAAGGGGCCGCCTTTTGAACCGCTCCGGTCGGTGGATCTAAAACCACTCTCGCAAGCGAGTGGGAGATCTGCAGGCCCTTTCTGTGAGTCCGGCATGTTTGGAGTTTGGAGCGGATGACTCCAGAGTCATTCTCAAACCCAGGCATGGTTACATACCCAAGGTGCTCTCAACGCCGTTTAGAGCGCAAGTTATCACGCTATTAGCCCTTCCCCCTTCTGCTGAGGATGGGGAGGTTAATCTTCTCTGCCCTGTTAGGGCGCTGAGAGTCTATCTGGAGCGTTCTGCGTCTTTTAGACAGTCAGAACAGCTGTTTGTCTGCTTTGGTGGCCGATCTAAGGGTGGTCCAGTTACCAAGCAAAGACTGTCTAGATGGATAGTGGATGCCATTTCTATGGCTTATACTTCAGTGGGTCAGGTTTGCCCTATAGGTGTCAGGGCCCATTCGACTAGAGGCATGGCCTCGTCATCTGGGTTTCCCATTCAAGATATTTGTGATGCGGCTGGCTGGTCCTCGCCTTCCACATTTATGAAGTTCTATAATATGGAGGTGCCTTCCCTGCAGGCGAAGGTTCTTTCAGTATGATTAAGACTCGATGCTGTCTGGTCTTTTCTACAAAAAATTACTGTGCATAATCACATACATACATATATAAAACCCGCTTAGGCCGGTTATGAATTGTACTAATAATCCCGACAGTGTCGGGGTTTGTTAGCATATTCTGTTGGTTGTTACTGACTCTTATATATTATTCAGGCCTGACAGTGTCTGGTCTGTTATATATATATTAATTTATTGGGTTCTGGCTTGTTCTGTTAGCTCAGGGGGCCTGAGTTGCAGTGCAACCAGTTACTAAGGGTGCGGCGTTTTACAGGGCGTCCCCACTGCGTATAGCTACGCAATACGAAGTGACCGTTCGAAAGGGAACTACTCGGTTACTATCGTAACCTCAGTTCCCTGAGAGAGGGAACGAGTATTGCGTAGCCGGCCGCATTTAGTAACTGGTGAAGTTGTCGCTTCAGTCGTTTAAACCTGCTATAATGGCGAATTCGGGGGTCTTTTATAGGCTAAGCCACACCCCCTTGACGGGCTCTGACGTTGAGCTAGCTCATTGGCTGCAGGTCAGAGTCGCCCGCGCCATTGGTTGTGCAGTTCCGGCAGCACAGCCTATGAGCGTGCCAGACGCTCAGTGTGCTGGCTGTGCAGCTGCAAATGCGTTTTACATATAGGTTTCAGTAAATCGAGGAAAAGGAGTTTCCCCACTGCGTATAGCTACGCAATACTCGTTCCCTCTCTCAGGGAACTGAGGTTACGATAGTAACCGAGTAGATTTTTTTTACATAGAATTGAAAAAAAAATGCTAATATATAAAGAGTTGTCATTATTTCTTTCCGGACTGTCTATATACACCAAATGCAAATAGCCTTACTTGTTGGCAGAGGCTATTTACACTAACTCCACCAACCAATGTCTGGTTGAGCCAATGTCTGGTTGATTTCACTTAGTGCAAAGAAAATACTGATATTTTCACTTAGTGTAAAAAGCGATAGATGGTAAGAAAATACTGATATTTTAACAAAGTAAATTGCATCTATTGCTATTTGAACTACCTGCAAATAGCCTCTGCCATTTCTTTCTAGTATTCGGTCAATTAGGAGAAGTTGTATCTACGCTGGTCTTGGATGAACAATTTGATGCAAAAATGTTCATATTGAGATATCCATTTTTTTTATTGAAAACGTTGAAATCTTGGCAAATCCTAGCACAGTTTGAGAACACTCTCTTTCTCTCACCCTGACTGGTTGTCCGGTTTCAGGAGAGAGTTGATGCGGTTGACAATCCAGCCGAACAGGCGTCCATAGAGAGCTTTGCCCATGGCGTCCCGCACCTCAGTGGCCTTCTCCACTGTGTTTGACCTGACGATGGTTTCGCCCCGTGTGACCACGCAGTGAGAGGTCAGTGCTTCCTGTAGCTCATCTGCACGGATACACAGCAGCGACGCAGCTGCACAAACACATACAAACATAACGACAATCTGCTTCAATTTGTATATTGGAGCTGCATGCCACTTCTACTGCATTGGTGATTTTAAAGAACATAATCTCAGTACATGTGACAAGCCAGTACACCAGTTTAGGGGCATGCTATCATCTCATGAAATTGCAGAAAAATTGTATACCACAAACTAGGGTTACTATATAGTTAAAACTAAAACCATAAAAAAAGTAACTTATTTTATTTCAGATAGTTGCCAAACATGTCTCATTTTTATTTCGTTTAACTTGATGCACTAAAACAACTAAAACTGAAATAAATAAATAAAAATATACAGACATAAAAAAAAGATTAATAAAAATGACAAAAACAGAACCAGATATGTACTAAATTTGATTAAATTACTAAAACCTTAAGATTTAAAGAGAAAATGTAAAACAAAAAACATTCAAAATATTTATAAAAACTATAATAGTGTTTTAATTAACTAATTTATTTTACATTCTGTTAGCTTTAACATATAGCCAAATTCGTTAAAAATATCTTAAAATTAATTAAAAAAAAACCTTTGCTAGGCTAATATAGGAAATTAATGTACTATGAATAGGGCAGCACAATTTTAGTATTATTTATATACTAATACAGTATTTATTAATATTTTGAATTAGCTTCTATTTTATATTTTTATTCTTAATTTTAGTTGAAGTTTTTTGTTATGTGCTTTTTGTCCTTTTTACTAGTTTTTTATATTTCTGTATAGCTTGAAGTTATTCATTTATTTTTAATCAGTTTTAGTTTTAGTAATTTTAGTACTTCAAAATCAACTTATTTATTTCAGGTAGTTGCCAAGTTTAGGTTTAAGATTTCATCAAATATTTATATTTTATTTAAATGACCAAAAAACACACATTTGTAATAGATTTAGTTTTAGTTAAAACTGGATTTGGGACACACTAATCCTACAGTATAGATAGTGACTGGAGCCGCATCCCAATTTACATACTTACTGTATAATAATCATTAATGGTATACTTTTAGGTTCAAATATTTAAAACTGCTGTCTCATACCTCACACCATATTTTTTTCTGCAACAAAAATGGCAAATCATCACAAGGGCGAATCATTGTAGCGCAAGGGGTTGTGGGTGAAATTATCCTAGACACTTTATGAAATTAACCCAGTATGATTTGAAATGCACTAACCCTATACTATTTACTACCCATGATGACTGTGTAAAAAAACTAGTCTAATGGTGTTTGCTGGTTTAAGTTGGATAAGCTGGTCTGGATAAGCTGGTGAAAAGTGCCCTTAAACCCTCTAAAACTATTAAGTCAGCTAAGAGCAACAAACCACCTTAGGCTTGTTTATGGAGATTTTTTTCAGAAGGGATGCAAATAGGGATTTATCCAGGTTTTTTTTTAAGCCTCTTCAGAATTACATAAACACACAACACCCATGACTGATTATATAACTGTGCTCAGGCTCAGATCAAGAGGTTGTGTTGCACAGAATGAAAGGTCAGCCTTGAGAAACTGGAATGCGTGTTAATTCTTACCACTCTCCAGCACTGCCATGTTGGAAATGTTGCTTTTGTCCGTCTGATGTTCAGAAGCCACTGATGTGAACTCGACATCACCTGCATTTAGGATCCCAGCTAAGACGCTGTAAACGCTCCCGAGCTCCTGATGAAAATATGACATACAAATGCACCACCGTTGGTCATATTAATGCATACATAATATGTATTAAATTATAAGTACCACAGAAGAGATGTCAAACATAACATGATTTATTACTAATAAAAACATCCCAGAGGAATAAATGTGCTGCATATTTCTGCAAATGTAGCATAGCAGATAATATCAAGTGGCACATTGCCATGTCTGTTTATTTGATTATGTGGATTCCCTTAAGAATGCCATGCTCAGTAATGGCACAGCAGTCACAGTCATGTCAGTCAAAGGCCTGTGATTACTTATATCTCCCTTGAGAAATGGAAATCTAAACGGACATTACAGAGATAGAATAAGTTTCCAATAGAAAGCATTCACGTTTGTATCCCTCAGATGTTGGCCTGGTGGTAAGTTCAGTGGTAAAAATATTTTTTTAGATTTAATACATTTTAAATGTATTCTAACATTCTGTTTCCAGGGTGACAGCAACTTCCCGGATTGCTTGATCTCTCTCCAAGATTATGGACTGTGTAGTTCTTCACAAGAATCCGGCTATTTACATCATTTCTTATTTGTAGCTTCTAAAATATACTTTCGCTTAACCTCATGTGGTTGCATTTCTCTATGAAGAACATTAATTGGGTTTTTACTTTCTAAACCCAACTGTTGCGCTCTGTTGTGATAGTTTCATGATCTTGGGATATCTTATTTCACTGATAAGCTTGGATGTGGCCTTCCAGATAAAACGTGCTCTGGTAATGTATTCCAGCATGCATCATTGATTTGCCTGATGGTAATTGTGGAGACTGATGGCATTAGAGCACTGGGTCACAACTTCTACATAACCCTCCGCATAGGCCATCAACAATGTTCTGCACTGGACCTGAATGGACAGACAGGCTGTTCTCACGCTCACTGCACATCAGCGTTCCTCCTACCTACGGTTGTAATCAAAATTATTCAACCCCCATTGCGAATCAGGTTTATTGGCAAAATTTACAGACTTTCAGCTGTTTGAACAAATCAAATAAAGGTAATTGAAATAGCTCAACACAACAAATGTTTCAAGTGGTTTCCCCAAATTCAACTGAAAATGCAACTTTTAATGACTTCTGAAGTCTCAAAATTATTCAACCCCTTCATGGCAAGCATCTTTAGCACTTAGTAGAACACCCTTTTGCTGATATGACCTGCTGTATACGAGATGTATAACCAGACACCAGCTTCTGGCAGCGTTTCTGAGGAATATTAGCCCATTTCTCATGAGCAACGGCCTCCAGTTCCGTAATAATCTTGGGTTTGCGTGCTGCAACTGCCTTCTTCAAATCCCACCAGAGATTTTCAATGGGGTTCAAGTCAGGTGACTGTGATGGCCAATGTAGAATCTTCCAGGACTTCTTCTGCAACCAAGCCTTGGTGGAATTTGAGGTATAATTGGGATCATTGTCTTGTTGAAAGGTCCAGGGATGCCCAAGCTTCAGCTTCCTCACTGACGGCATGAAGTTTTTTCCTAGGATTTCGTGATACTTCAATGAATCCATCTTGCCTTCCACACGCTGCAGGTTTCCAGTGCCAGAGGATGCAAATCAGCCCCAGAACATCACCGCACCACCATGCTTAACTGTAGGAGGAGTGTTCTTTTCAGCATATGCTTCATTCTTCTTCCTCCAGACATACCGCTATCCACAGGGCTGAAAAGTTCCAGTTTTGTTTCATCGCTCCACAGAACAGAATCCCGAAACTTCTGTGGCTTGTTTATATGATTTTGATCAAATTGGAGCCAACTTTTCTTGTGCTTTTAGGTCAGTAGTGGTGTACATCTTGGAGTTCTGGCATGGAAACCAACTGTGTTTAGTATGCATCTTACTGTGCAAGCTGAAACCTCAGTGGCTGTTGTCACCAAGTCTTGCTGCAGGTCTTTTGCAGTCACTCGAGAGCTTTTTTCAACCTGCCTTCTCAGAAATCTGGTTGCAGCTGTTGATAGCTGCCTTTTTTCTGCCTCGTCCAAATAGTTTAACCACTGTTCCTTTAACTTTGAACGGTGTATCTAGGAACATTTAGTGCCTTCGCTATCTTTTTGTATCCTATTCCTGTTTGTGAAGGGCGATGATATCTTCTGTTAACTTCTTTTGACTTAGCCATATTTCTATCATGCACTCAACAAACCTAGCCAGTTCATATATTTCATGTGTTCTAGCTCAAGCTCACCTGGTGCAACTAATGAAGCCCTTGATTAGTTGCACCAGGTGTGCTTGAGACAACACCCGTTTTGCAGATTTGTGCTGTTGTGGGGGATTCTATTCAGGGGTTTGAATAATTTTGAGACTGCAGAAGTCATTAAAAGTTGCATTTTCAGTTGAATTTGGGGAAACCACTTTGTTGTGTTGAGCTATTTCAATTACTTTAGTTTGATTTGTTCATTGCAAACAGCTGAAAGTCTGTAAATTTTGCCAACAAACCTGATTTGCAATGGGGGTTGAATAATTTTGAATACAACTGTATCACCCTTCATTATTTAGTAAATATAAGGCCCCTTTAGCCCCTTCTCCAAAAGAAACAACATTTGGATTTTAGTGTAACGACAGTCAGTGCTATCGCCTCCAATTTAAGAACTCAAATTATGTAAAACTAAATCAATGTTTTAAATGACACGTATTATTGAAACGCTGACTCTACTTGAAAGAGAGTACAAAAATAAAGATTCTTTGCAGCAAAAATGTCAATATGTACTAGTATTCTTGCGTACCTCTAGGGTGAAGCCGATGACTTTGAAGCACTGCTCCACAGTCTCAAACTGCTCCTTATAGAAGGAATTGCCCACAATGTCAGGCACTAATTTAACATTCTCATTGTGGAGATACCTGGAATTGAGAAAAACAAAGAGTACAAAATAGAAAAAAGGATGTCAGATGAGGATAGAGATAAAAGCAGCAGGCTGTTATCAGGTGTTCAAGAACTTACTTTGGAGTTTTACTGTCTGACAGCTTGTAGTGGCCGAGTTTCTTCCTCTCTGCCAGACCGGAATAGATATAGTAGAAGATGTGAAAGTTACGCTCCCCTCTGATGAAAAGAATGCTTGGTTATAGAATGGATTTTTATGGAGCCCTTAAAGGGACGTGGTGGTGAAAAAAAAAATTAGATGAGAAGAAAATTAATCAATGTTTTTCAACCTTCATAATATATTTCCAAGACCCTTGTGATGGTATATCGACTTACAATAGGTTAAATGACACGTCTGCCATAGCCTGCCGTGGTCTGTATCGCTTTTACTTGCACTAAGTAACTTCGGGTTTCGGGTAGTAACCCGAGCACAAAAATAACTACAAAACTCGACTGCTTTACGGCATACGTCACTTCCCCCACCACTTCCTCAAATTGTCTGTGGCCATTGTTGAGTCCAAAGCCGGTGCTGGATAAACAGCGAGCGTGCGCGTGCGACAGTAGGCTGCGGTAGGCTATTATTTACGACAGCGGTAATGGACAATTCCGCTTCCAACCTGTAGGGCGTCCGCAGAGGAAAAGTTCCTTGGTGTTGCTTTAATTAATGAAGCTCAACCATCCACCATTCAAACTTTTTACAACATTTATTGTAAGAAAAAAATCAAACAAATGTTTTCCTTTGAAATCACCATGAAATCAAATTTGATTTATAATTTGTTGAAAACAATGAATGCTTAATTATTTATTGCTCACAATTGTCTTTTTTCTTTTTAAACAAATGATGTACCCTATTCATTGAATGTGCTAACAGGATAACTATTAAACATAAAATGTGTTCAGTCATTTTGATCAATCCAATCATTTGATATTTAATTTAGCATGCATGCTGAATTTGGTCAAAGTCAAGGTCATATGCAACGAGAGGACTCTTACACAGCCTGGTGTACGACCCGAGACTTCTCCAGGAGGTAATCTGAGATCTGAGCTCCCACCACTGTGCCTCCACAGGTGAACTTCATCTCCAGATACTTCCCAAAGCGACTGGAGTTATCATTGATCACAGTGCAGGCATTCCCAAAGGCTTCCACCAGACTATTGACCAACAAAATCTTCTCCTGGAGGGTCCGGTTGTTGGCCTGAAGAAAAAAAACACACTTATTACATGGCTACTTCCCAATAAATGAGTATAACATTTATTTGAGTTGAAAGAATTGTATTTTTTGAGAAGAAAGAAAGCAAGAAGTGATATGAGACAATGCATGACAACAACTTGACATAATACAACAGTGAGAAGATAAAACTGCTCTCCAAACCTTTCCGAGGACGGTCAGCTGTTGGACTAACAGGTGGGCGCTCTCTGTTTTCCCAGAGCCGCTCTCTCCGCTGATGACAATGCACTGCACACAGAGATGAACATGTTTCAGACCACGACTGATACACTCCAGCAGCTCATAGAGGAACATACTCTACCTGATCAGCATTATAGGACACCATGGACTGATATGCGATGTCCGCGACTGCATATATATGAGGAGGGTTGGACGTTCTTTTGGCTCCAACGTAAATCTTAGAATGCTGCCAGAGAAACAAAGTATTCAACAAGGGTATTCCAGATGCACCTAGCATTGCTAGATGGCTGTTTTGATGTTCAAAGTGTTTTTAGCATATTGCTGCTATTGCTAAGCTGTTATGAATGGTTGCTGAGGCGTTGCTATGCATTAGCTAGGGTGTTTAAAGGGTTTTCAGGGCACTGCTAAATGGTTGCTACAGTGTTGGTTGTTGTCAGTATGTTGTAATAAGCTTGCTAGATTAATGCAAGTTTATGGCAATTTATTTTATCATCCGCGAGGTCAAAATCATTAGTCTGATTGCTTTCAAGTCAAAAACCAAACATCTCTCATAAATTAAGTATGCTGGGAAACCCTTGTGAAAAAGAAGTGAGCTTTTTGTATTGAATGTGCATAGTGTAATTCAAATCTTAAAAGTTTATTTTTAAAAAATCTGTACTTACCGATTGTATTAATGAAATAAAGTGCCATTTAAGTGTACTTAAGGAGAGTACACTTTCATTACTATGTTTCTTAACATGTTTAAGTAACACTAAAAAAGTGCACTATGTAATAATGTAAAAATTAAAAGTTTTACATTTTAAATCATTGTTTTAATAATGTTTTGTCATGCTTTAAAGAAGTACACCTACTTTGATGTGTTGACTAACATACTAATTGATTATAATTTTTAACTATAGTTAAGCTTTTTGTGTTTAGTGTTTAGTAAGTTTTCATTTGACAAGATTTCATTAAAACATTTCTTCATTCGTGTCCCGAAGATGAAATTATGACAGAATTTTCATTTTTGGGTGAAATATCCCTTATTTTAAATGTACAAATTGCAACTTCATCAGTTCAAATGTGTAATTACAAACATATTTAAATACATGACAAAAGTTAAAATAGAAATGTCATTAAAGTACATTTTAGTTTATCATAAATGCTTTTCAGTCCATTTGGCAATACACAAACCACATTTCAAAGACAATAAAATTGTGGGTAACACTTTACAATAAGTTTTCATTAGTTAACATTAGTTAATTACATTAGTTAACATGAACTAATAATGTAATGTAATGTTAATGTAAATTTTTGATTTAGTAATAAATCAATTTGAGAATTGATGGACAACTGATTAGCATAATGATTTTATAGATGTGTTATATTTTATTTTATTGTATTGTCTTGTATTTCACTTCTTTATTTTTTGTCCTGTACTTTTTGTCTCTGTCCAGCGCTTTGATCAACTCTGGTTGTTGTAAAGCGCTTTATAAATAAAAATTGATTGATTGATAGTAATACATTATCAAAATCAAAAGTTGTATTTGTTAACATTAGTTAATGCACTGTGAACTAACATGAACAAACAATGAACAGCTGTATTTTTATTGACTAACATTAACAAAGATTGATAAACACAGTAACAAATGTATTTCTCATTGTAAGTTCATGTTAGTTAAAACATTAACTAATGTTAACAAATGAGACCTTATTGTTACCGAATTATAAAATGACACATAAAGATACTTAAGTCCTACTTAAGTGGGTCAAAAAAGCACTGTAATTTTCAGCTAATTGCATAAAAAAAATTCTAATACATTTTCATTTAATTGCAATAAACATGTAATTAGCTGAAGTGCCTGAAAAAATGTAATTTAATTCACAACTTTATACTTTTAAAGTATATCATTTCCGTAATAAGTGCTATCCTAAAGTGTACTTCTGTTTGTTTGTTTTTTACAAGGGAATCTAGAGAGAGGAGAGCATGTGCAATGCATGAATGGAAAAGGGAAATGAAATATACACTCTTTCTGCAGAATACAACGACACAAAACTGACGGGCGAGAAAGAAAGCGAGTGAGAGATTTGGCAGCAAATGGAATGAAGCCGACTATGAAATGTTGATGGCATCTATAATGAAATATTATACACGCACCTCAGGCGTATATAGCTCCGTATCCTGGAATGGATTGACCGCTATAAGGATGTCTCCAACATAGGTGTAGATCAGCTCCTTTGTGTAACGTCTCTGTAGCTGTTCGGTGATTGTGTTCTAACAGAGAAACAATTACACATCACAGATGGCCATCCCATCAAACCACTGCACACCACTGCACAACAAAATAACCACCAATACCACACAGGAGTCTCCATTTTCATGCATGACCGAACCTAGACACAGTAAGACGATTCATTATCTAGACTACTGCATTCAGAACTCTTTACATTGTGATTACTGCACACACTATGTACTTTTTGTTGCCATATGCGCCTAATATGATCATACAAGACAGTTACACACATCACAGGTCTCCATCTGGTGACATCAGTCCAAGGACATAGGCATAAGTCAAGCGCTTCCTGTCAAAACTGCTACCATTATGGATGAGAAAATATATCTAGTGTCAATGAGACCCCCTCTGAATTGATAGATCACCTTAAATGTGTTCCAATACAAACTCTGTTATTGTTCTCTAATCTGTCTATTTATTCACTTGACAGTTAAAATATAAGACTGCTAGGAAGAGTTATGGTCACTTGACAGTCTCTCTGAAAAATGCTGCTGGAAAATGTAAGAAAAATGAATGGAATGAATGGGCTGTCCGACAGAGGGATGGGAAATTTCCTGTCTTTCCTGAGTCTATGTATTGATGATCAAAACTAGTGTGTGTGTGTTCTTTGGCCTTTCTCTTGTGGGGCCTGTATACTGTATATATTCTTACTTCATCCAGAACCTCTAGGATTGCCAGATCTTCCACGTCATCACACGTTTGACTTTGAGACTTCATGTGGCTGCCTTTTTTGGTGTGGATACGCTCATGCCTGCAACACAGGATTAAAGTCTATGAAAAGCAACCAGGGAAGTTAAAATCACATAAATTACTCACACAAATGACCTTGTTGGAATTATTGATAAAGGCATTAAAAGTTAATGATGAAATAAAAATCAATAGTTATATAAAAATAGCTTTTTTACCCAATTCATTTGAAGAGCCCCAGAACTAATTTCTATCTTTATTTCAAGGTTATTCTACTGTTTAGCTCAAACTGTAAATTAAATTTTGTTCAAATAGAAAAATAGTTCTTTTAAATTGATATCAATAATCAAAAATATTTCTGAATACCTTTTACTTTATTTTTGTTTAAATAAATGCAGCCAATGTGAGCAGAAGAGACTTCTTTAAAAACATTTGCACATGTGCATATGTATTAATAATTATGCTGCCTTAAAAGATACCTTAATGTAGACAGTAATTTGAGAATGCTTTGAGAAAAAAACAACTTGTTGAATATGCTAACAAAGAAATGCTGATTAAAAAAGAATTGGTATTATTAAAATATCTCAACTAGTTTTACCCATAAATAATATAGCTGAACTAGTTTAGCCAGTTTTTGTGTTATGTATTGTTTATGCTTCCTAAGGTCCACATCAAACTCAAATGTTGTTAGCTTAGCAACATGCTAATGGCAAGCCCTCACGTGTTTCTTGTGAGTAATAAATGCTGTCTTAGAAGGTCGCTGTATGTAATGTAGTTGAAATAAATACTGGGTAAAGCAAGTATCCAGTGTAGGCAGACCCGTAACGCTGGTCCAAACCATGTATTTACACATTTAACACAAAAACGCAACATTGGGTACACAATGAACACTTTTGGGAAAGTAACAAGGGGAGTTGCCACAACACATGGCCAGATACAGGAAGCTGCTACTACTACATCCACAAAAAGTAGGGTTGATCTAGCCCATGTGACAGTCAATATCTCATACCTGGATTCACTGTCTCTCCTTTCTGTCATTCCAAGATGGCTTAAATGATAAAAATAAAGTTAATATCTAATGCCTGCTTCAGACTGTGCGATCTCGGCAATCCTATATGATCATTAAATCACTGTACGACATGGATCTATAAACTTGGGTACGACATGTATGTAGACTGTACAATGATGACACCTACTGAATCGTAGGCTACGATGACGCAAGTAAGTATAGAAGGATAAATGTCATTAGCATGCGCTAGTGGTAAACAAATAGAGCAAGATGAATCACACTTTTGCAATTGTGGTTTTTATGTGCGCTGAAAAAAAGAGGAGTAAGCGAAAGAGGAGAATGTGGACGAGGTCATGGATAGGGTAAAGAGGCCAAATTTGCATGCCAAATTTAGCAAATGGAGCTTGAGGGAAGTAGTTTTAAGTTTAATAACCATGTCGCATGATCAATCGGTTATTTCATGTTGCATTTTTAATGGCTAGTTAGTAGACGTAGGTCGTAGCAGCAAACACACTATGAGAAGATCATGCTAAATTTCTGACACTCAGAAAATTATCGCAGGCTATGTTTAGTCTCATGACCGTGAACCTCTTAAAAGAACCTGTATGATCTAGGACCACCTTTTAGGAGCCACGACCACAGAAATCACCAGAATTGGTCATCTTTTGTCTGGGACAGCTCAAAATCATACAATGTGTACCGGGCATTAGAGCCATAGCAGGGGGTTATGATGGGGGTCTCGGCTCTTCTAACTGGTCCAGCCACAATACCTAGTACTTCATTCATCAGAGATACCATATTTTCATCTACGTTTATGTAAGTTTTAAAATGATAAGTCCGATGACCTCTTCCTGAGTAAGAGGGCAGTTCTTGGCCAAACGCAGTAGCTATAGAGCCCAGACCTTATGTCATCACGCAAGACTACTCACAGAAACCACTAAAGCTGATATTTTTGTCTTATTACCTTGTTTTCTCAATAACGCCGATTTGCTGGTTGAGGTCGATTAGCTCCATCAGCTGCTTCTGCAACATCCTCTCTCGGCCCACAATCTGTTTGATGAAGACATGCTGAAGAAGGTCAAACACATTGGGCCTGAGCTCAAAATCCTTTATCAGACACCTGAAGGGGACACAATCGAAAAATGGGAGAATTTGTGCTGAAAGGTCCAAGATGTCACATCAAATGGCAAATGATAAGGACCAGATTGAGGAAAAACACAAGCTAAAGGTTGCTGAGAGTAATTCAGTTACAAACAATCTGGTAAAACAGTAGGCGGTTCATTGGAGTATGATGAAGCTTTATGAGAAGCTCTTTGTGAGAGTTATTAACCTACACAATCGGTATAGAAAAGAAAAGCTAACAAAACTTTTACAACCATCCAACTTTATAATCTATGTGCATCAGTGGCAAATACAAATAGAAATGCACTTAATCTGTGTTACTCACTTGCATACAAAATCTTTAAAATCGTTTGACCAGAGCTCTGGTTGATGTAGGGTGGGTGGAGGATTTCTGTTCAGAGAAAAACAGATAAATAGGCAAAGATAAGTGTGAGATGAGAATTGAGGAGACAAACACTCGCAGCAAATTGATCACATTCATTTCAAAAGGGAAAAACATTCCTCACTTAATAAGATTGTTAGATTACTGTTTCAAAATTTCTGCTGTTTAGATGAATAATTTGAATGGTCCTAATAAGCATAGATATACAATATAGCGTATACGCAAAGAAAAATGTCTACCAAAATGCATATCTGCATATACTACAAGAGAGACCGCTGCAAACTGTCACTTATGTCAGTGACTTGAAGAATTTAAGTTTAAAGGTCAAATTAATGATAAACAGGGATGTAATTTTTTTAAATAAATATTATACTATGGGGCTATTGAATGCTTGATTCTGATTGGTTGGCGAATGTTCTAAGGTGAGCAGCAGAGTGCAACACTCTATAGAAATAGATTTTGAATGATAACTTATAAACCTTTAAAGAGAGACCTTCTGTGAGCTAAGAGGTTGTGAATCAATGGTATTTGTCTCTGCTGAAGCCGTCAGCCTGCATTATTTCAGCTTATTTTTAAAGATAATTGTGTTTAACAGGGGAATTCTTGGTGAAAAACGTACTCGGTTACTAACGTAACCTCGGTTCTCTCTAGAGAGGGAACGAGTACTGCGTAATAGCTTACGCTAGGGGAAAAACTCTTTTCCACAAGATATTGAAGCCAAAAATTATCCTTAATTTTTTTATTAATGTAAAACGCTTTGCAGCAGCAAGCAGACATAGGCGAAACAGCTCGCGCACCTATTGGTTGCTCTGCAGCAAATGCAGCAGCCTATCGAGAGAGACTCTGCGTGACGTAATGACCAATGGGGGCAATTCGCGCCCATATCGTCACGTCCCGCCAGAAGGGGCGTGGTCTCACCCAATAAATATGCTCGTTAGGCTGGTACAAGCTGGTTTTTATCGCTGAAGCGAACCAGAGCGTATTCCAAGCACGGCAAGATACGCAGTACTCGTTCCCTCTCTAGAGAGAACCGAGGTTACGTTAGTAACCGAGTACGTTCTCTTACGAGAGTATCTCTCGTACTGCGTAATAGCTTACGCTAGGGGAACACAATGCAACACGCCGTGCGTACAGGGATCCAACACCAAAGTCCCGGGGGCCGAAGCCCAGGGCTCATGTAGTGCATAATCACCATAAACTCACATAGAGTGGAGGAAGAGAGGCTGGAAGCGTCATTCCCTATAAAAAAGCACCCAGCGGGGCTGTCATATGACAATAAAACGCGCAGCCAGGGTGAAAGCTTTCAGCCTGATCTGGGTGGCCATACGTGTGTCAACACTCATGGGGCTGCAGTAAACTCAGCATCTGGGCCGCACAGCGGGGCAGATAGCACTGAATTTTAGACCGCCAAAAGCTTAGCTTGTAAGGCGGGTACCTCCAGGTTATAGTATTTTATAAATGTAGACGGCGAGGCCCAGCCCGCGGCCATTCAGATATCTTGCAGGGAAACCCCGCTCGACCACGCCCACGAAGAGGCCACGCCTCTCGTGGAGTGCGCTCTGACACCCAAGGGGCACTGTAGGCCCTTCGCAGAGTAAGCGAGCGCAATGGCATCCACTATCCATCTGGATAGGCTCTGTTTTGAGGTGGCGAGTCCCTTGGAACGCCCGCCAAACAAAACAAAAAGCTGCTCCGTCTGTCTGAAAACAGACGAGCGTGACACATAAGCTCTCAATGCCCTGACGGGGCAAAGGAGACTCGCATCCTCCTCCTCACTGAGAACCGGAAGGGCGGACAGGGAAATTACCTGGGCCCTGAACGGTGTATTGAGGGATTTCGGGACATACCCGTGCTTTGGTTTGAGAATGACCTTCGAGTCATTAGGCCCAAACTCCATACACGACGCGCTTACTGAAAGCGCCTGTAAGTCCCCTATGCGCTTCACTGAAGCGAGAGCCATGAGAAACACTGTTTTGAACGACAGGTGTTTCATGTCCACCAGCTGGATTGGCTCGAACGGGGCGCCTTTCATGGCCTCCAGGACCGTGGAAAGGTCCCACATCGGGACTGAAGGGGGCCTGGGAGGGTTCAGCCTCCGAGCTCCCCTAAGGAAACGCACGACTAAGTCGTTTTTCCCCAGCGACTGGCCAGACACCGGTTTTGCAAACGTTGCTATGGCCGCCACATATACTTTGAGCGTGGATAGGGTCCTGCCCTTATCCAGTAGCTCTTGAAGGAAGGAAAGCACTTCCGAAACCCCGCATTCCACAGGTGAAAAGCTCTGGGCTTGACACCATGCAGAGAAAACAGACCATTTCGAGGAGTAGAGCCGCCTGGTAGACGGAGCTCTAGCCTGCGCGATCGTGTTTAACACTCCTTCTGGGAGGCTAGCGGGTACCCGTTGATGCGCCCGGACCACAACTCCGGGCGAGGGTGCAAAAATCAAGCCCTCCGCCTGAGAGAGGAGGTCTCTCCTCAATGGTACAGGCCATGGGGCAGTGCTGGTCAGCTGCATCAGGGCAGGGAACCACGTCAGGTTTGTCCAGAGCGGAGCTACGAGCAGCACTGGGCATCCGTTCTCCCTGATTCGTTCCAACACCTGAGGCAGGAGCGAGACAGGAGGAAAAGCATATAGGGGGCAGCGGGGCCAAACATGAGCCAGCGCGTCCTTGCTTTTCGAGAAAAACTCCGGGCAATGAGCGTTTTCGTGGGACGCGAATAGGTCCACCTGTGCTCTGCCGAACGTTTTCCACAGCAGCTGGACCGTCTGCGGGTGCAGCGACCATTCCCCTGCTGGAACATTGTTCCTGGACAGTCTGTCTGGTCCCACATTCAGGTGACCAGGCACGTGCGCTGCTCTCAGTGAGAGCAGGTTGTGCTGAGCCCAGACCAGGAGGCGTTCCGTCAGCCTGTGAAGGTTTCGTGACCTGACGCCGCCCTGGCGATTTATGTATGCCACCACTGACATGTTGTCCGACCGGACCTAGACGTGGTGGCCTGTTACCTGGGGACAAAAACGCCGTAGCGCTTTGTCGACTGCTATCATCTCCAAGCAGTTTATGTGAAGGAGCTTTTCCCGTTCTGGCCACAGGCCAGCTAGCGGTCTGCCCTCGAGCAGCGCTCCCCACCCCGAGGTGGAGGCGTCCGTAGACACCACCTTCACACTCGAAGCGGTCCCCAGACTCACACCTGACTGATACCAGTCGGTTATTTTCCAAGGTTCCAGAGCTGAAACACACTGAAGGTCAACCCTGAGGCGAAACAGACCCGCTGTCCATGCCCTGGGTGGAACCCGCGCTTTCAGCCACATCTGCAGTGGGCGCATGCGGAGCAAGCCCAACTGGAGTACAGAGGCTGCTGAGGCCATCAGCCCCAGCATTTTCTGAAACCTTTTGAGCGGAAGGATTTCGCGCCGCGCTGAATATTTAGCCCGCGCTCTGGTGACAGGCGTGCTGTCATGGACAGCGAGTCCAACACGGTTCCCAGAAAGGAAATTTTCTGACTGGGAGACAGTGAGCTCTTCGCCCAATTGACTGTGAGGCCCAGCTCCTCGAGGTGCTCGAGTAATGCGGCCCTGTGTTCGATGAGCTCCGATCGTGATCGAGCTAGAATCAGCCAATCGTCCAAGTAGTTCAGGACTCGCATGCCCTGAAGTCTCAGGGGTGCGAGCGCCGCGTCCATGCACTTCGTAAATGTACGAGGTGCTAGGGACAGGCCGAACGGCAGGACTGTGTATTGATATGCCTGGCCCTCGAAGGCGAATCTTAAGAATCGCCTGTGATGGGACGCTATTTGTATTTGGAAATAGGCGTCTTTCAGATCTATCGACATAAACCAGTCCCCGTGGCGCACTTGCGCGAGGATTTTCCTGGTCGTAAGCATTCTGAACTGGCGTTTCACAAGCACTCTGTTCAGCTGTCGTAGATCTAAATGGGTCTGAGACCCCCATCCTTTTTCGGTACCAGAAAATATCTGCTGTATAGGCCCCCTTCGCTCTGAGCCTGAGATAAAGGTTCTATAGCCCCTTTGCTCAGTAGTTTCGCTATCTTGGCACGAAGTAGATGAGACACTTCGTTTTTCACCGTAGTTTCGACACGTGCCGTATAACGGCGCGGGCGTCGAGCGAATTGTAGCGAATAGCCTCTCTTTATAGTGTTCAGCACCCATTCTGATACCCCGGGAAGCTTTGACCACGCATCTGCGTGAATAGCTAGAGGTAGAATGAAATCCGGGCTCCGGCCGCGACAAAACGGCAGCTCGAGAGCCCGGGCATACTGGGAACACAACACCGTGTTTACAGCGTTCGAGGCGGGGGGCGCGCTGATCACAGCGGGCGGCCTGGCCGCGCTCAGCTTTTTTATGGCAGATTGTGCAGAAAAAGCGAGCGGGGGAGATCCCGTAGGAATCGGCGTGTCTGTGAGAAAATGTGGGCGCGGGGCTGCGGGCACATTTATTACACTGAAAACATTGTCGGTCATGGCTGACTGAATGTGTGTTGGTTTCGTTTTTACAGAAACCAAGGGACACGCAGCATGTAGTGTGAGCGGGCATGGTGACATGGGCGCGTTTACTACATTGTTTGCACAATCGACCTGAGTCGATTTTATTTGTGCTAGCCCTGCACCGTGGCGGGCTGTGTCTGGGTGTGGGAATGGGCACTGGGTGGGCATTCTTACAACACTCATAACACCATCGGCCGTGGCCGGATTGTTTGTGCGAGCCCTGCATTTTTGCGGGCTGTGTTTGTGTGTAGAAATGAGCCCTGGGTTGTAGGCATTTTCAATACACTCATAACACCATCGGCTGTGGCCGGAATACCAGAAAATACACCATTTATGTGATTTATCTGGGTCGCCGTGGGAACAGCATTTGTGTGCAGGCAAGCGGGCATGGTACTGGCTTGCTTACTGCAAAATACACTGGAACAGTCACATTTTCTGGAACTGAACGAGCGAAAATTTCAGTGGAAGTCTGGCCACGGCGAGACTGAAACACCGTCGATTTCCTAG